GTTAAGTTTAAGATCATAAAATAATATTTTTCAATTAAGAAAAAAAATGCCCTTTAGTCTAAAAGATTGATAAGGAGTTTAAATTCTAAGACCAAGTGAGGATTATTTTTCACAGTAATATATGTGTACCAAGTGTGTGTGTTTTGTCAGGAGTACAACTAATGCATATATCTTTATTTCACAATATGGTTATTGTTATATACTAATTTTAACCTGTGAAAATTTCATGGTTTTCCTATTTTAAATTTTTGATGAATCTTAATTCTTCAGTTAATGATTGAATAAGCTCACGGTAAGTTCTATGACAATAAAAAATATCTGTAGAATTTCCCTATCACATCGTTAAATACTTGAGCTTAACAACTTTAACAAAATATTGCAATGAGAATCATAAATATGAATACTGGTCATTATTTTAAGAAGTAAGTGGGTACAAATAAAAAGATTTGAAATTGACAACTTTTTCCATTTCACTGAAACAGACGTTAAACACTTCTATCTTCCCTTCTTTCCTTCATTTTCTGATTGAAACCAAGTAGCAACTTTAATGTCTTTCCATGTAATCAAAATGGAATAATCCATTATATATGAGGAGACATTAAACACTTCTATTTTTCACTATTTTTCATGTCTTGTTTTTCCACATGATCAAAACAGAATAGTCCATTATTTATGAGGTATTGGCAGGGTGTAACAGTCATGTGAACTAATGAAGGCAGGGACAAGCACAATTATTATATGATGATATTTCACATTGATTCACAGTGATTATTTTACAGGTCTTTTTCTCTCAATGTGATTGCTTTAATTATTTTTGCCTCATAAATCATCCAATGCTACCCATGATTTGTAAAGAGCAAATCAGAAAGTTTCTCATTATTTTTATATCATATGAATGAACTTTTAAGTTTGTCAATTCAAAAAAAAAAAAAATGTTATTGTTATTCTTTGTTAATTTATTACATTTTTGAGAGCTCAAATGTTTACAAGAACCTCAATAAGCCTTTATTTATAAAGAGACTGAGAGACACTAAATAGCTTTTAAAAATAATTCTAGAAATGTTAAGAATAATAGAAGAAATAGGCCCTAGAAGCAGAGGTGGACTGGGTTTAAAAATATTGGTTGCCAGGAGACAAAGGGGCTCCACTCACAACTATAATGCTATCATTTAATTTTCATAATGAATAAATAAAATTAAACAAAATACATATGCAAAAATGTCTATTTCTTAGACAATTACATTTTATATGTATTGTACATATTACTGGCAGTAGATACAAAATGTAAATACAGAATGTTATAATTGAGTTTTTTATTTATATTTTTAATTTTAGGTAATTGGTTGATATTTTTAAATAGTTTGTTGCATAATTTACACATTAACAGATAGTTCAAAAGCACAATAGAGCATTGCATATATTTCATTATATTAAGAACAATTGTTTGTGTTCACTAGATGTTTGTGCAAATCTATCAATAATTGCTTCTGTATCCAATTCATCTAAAAATTTCTTTCCAATGGATAGCAATATGTACAATTCCAAATTTTCATCAAATAGCAAATTTCTTAATGTTAAGAAATATAATTTTTAGCTTTGAAAATATTCTCTTACATTGAACGAGTAACTGATAGTGTATAGATGACTTCATAAAGTTCTTATTCCTATTTATTACTAAAACAGCTTTTGTGTGTTTCTTTATTGCATTTTTATTTGATATAAAGGGCCCACTTAACATTGAGCAAACTGACACCCTGGTCAATTTGCCATTGCCTAAAAGTGAAATATTTGATGATAATGGGTTAAGATGATCTAACCTTATTTTTTAGTACAACAGTGAAAAACTGTAAAGAAATCACAGATATTACTTTACTGACCTAGACGAGCATGGAGAGCTGGATTTTTTTTTATATTAGTTTAACCAATCCAGATAAATTAACTCAATAATTGTCTTTTAGAAGATATTGAATCTCAAGATAAGCAACCAATGTACAACAGAAAGATAACAGAAATATTGTTTTTTATCAATCTCCAGATTTTAAAAAAGTGAATTCCAATCAATAAATATTGTGAGATGCAAATATCATTTAATATGAATAATCCCAGTAAGATTATTTAGTGGGTACTAAAGAATTTACAAGAATAAAGTTGAAAATGATTAGTAATAAAAAAAGCGTTTATCTTGAAATATCAATATCTGGAATACAGTTTTTAACTAGTGATTAGACTTAATACTAAAAAATATTTCATAGGATTTTATTTGTTTATTTTTTTTAAAGAAATGTGTTCTGTTCAGCATTTGAAGTTTCAAAATACTTCTTATTAAAGATAATCATGTTAGCTTTTGATCAGAATTTTGACTGTAGGATGAAAAATAAAAGATACAAAGAAACCAGTTTCTCTTTTCATTTTCCTGTTTTATTTGTTTCTCTTCTATTGATATAAAAATTAAACAAACCTTGATAATATTGAAAACCATTTTAACTAACAATTTTTTTTAAGAAAATAAAAGAGGACAATAGAATAATTTAATTACAGAGAAACTGTTAATATTTTAGTTTTTTTTTTTTTTTTTTTTTTTATTATAGAGCATATCTGATAAAAACTGGTTGATTTTCTTGTAATAAATTATTTCTCTCACACATGCACACCTCATTTACTCAAACAAAAATAAATGAGAATATAAAAAGGCTGTCTTGTTCCAAATTTCCAAATGGGAGGAGTCTGTCAGCCTTGAAAATCAGTTTTTATCTGGGTTCAAAATGTTGACCACTGAAGCTGGTGGGAATATTCATCTTTAGATAAAAGAGAAATTTACTGTGAAAAATGTGACAAAAATGGAGTCAATTTTTAATAGCATACGTTTTAATTTTATTAATAATATACCCTATCTGTATATGTTTGAATATGAAATTTTTCAGTACATTCAGATATTTTCAAAGCTGTTATAATCTAATTGATTATATTATTATCTAAATATAGTTTGGATTTAAATTCTGAAAAATTTTGTTTGTTGTATTAACTTAATTTTAGTCTTCTATAATACTACTAAAATGAATGCTGTTAGAAAGAATATTAAAGTGTTTTTATATAATCACTGAAAATAATTTTATGTCAAAACCTCAAAATGTATTATGACATATCTTAATTTTATTTGAACAGTTCAATAAAGTGAGAAATTTTTAATCCTTAGGACATTGTGGTAAAGTTTAACAATCATACTACCCCGCCCCCAAAAAACCTAGTTTGTCAAAAGACGGTTTTTCTCTTGATGTCACTGTTATCCTGTATACTCTCTTGGCAATTTTATTGTTTTAAAAAGCTATTTATAGAATTTCAATAAACTCAAAACAGGAAACTGGATTTATACATTTTTCTCAAGAATTGACAACAAAAATGTTGTCAATGTTTGAGTTTTATTAAAAATCTATAAATAGTTTTTTAAAAGAATAAAAACTGCTGAAAGAGTATACAGCAAAAACAGTGTCAAGTGAAAAATTGTCCTTTTGACACACTGTTTTTTGTGGGTTTGATTGTTAAACTTTCTCGATATTGCATTTAGCATTTTGAGGTCACTCTCATGTTGACAGACAACAGTTCTTCCCAAATTCAGTAATAAGGTATCAAGAATTCTCTCTAACTGATTGTTAAGGAGGAGATCATGCCTTATCCTTTATTTATTTCAGTGTTAGAGAATACATGTAAAATATATATTCATATATATATCATACAAACAGATATGCAAACAGTATTAATAAAAGTAACAATTTATTTTTTATACCGTGTGTAGATATACATGTACTTCTTTGAATAGTTAAAATAAAATGAACTTAGCAATACCTAGATTTACAAATCGGAAATTAAAAAAGTCAATTAAATAAAAGAGGGAGGTGTGTAGTTGAAATTTGCCTCAGCCATAGTTTTTTTTCTGAAAAAAATAAAAATTTTTCAACACTTCTTATTTAGAAAATTTGGCCAATGCAAACATCATAAAATTTTTGTCTAAAAGCAGTTCAAGGTTTTAAGAGAAGATGAACAATCAAATATAATTTTTTCTTTTACTACAGATATGTAACTAAAAGTGATGTTACATTCTTGTGTCAGAAACAGAAGTAAATATAATAAATAACTTTGTTGAGAATTATTCAGATAGTTTAGTGAGAAGTGCATGCTAAATTATAAGCTACTTAAATTGTATAACATTAATTAAAACAAGATGCATTGAAAAAGCTCAAATCAGGCATTCAGAAAAATCTGATATTTGGGGTAGATGGCTCAATCAATAAATCTATTAAAAAATGCAAAGATTAAAAAGAAAATATCTTAAATTTAACTTCTTTCTCAAAATCCAAAACTGCATACTTCCTGGAGAAAATAGCAATTTTTTCATGTGGAAACCAGACTGTTTTAATTTGCACTATGTGAATATGTAAATAAAAAATAACTATTTAAATTTTTTTTTCAACTCAAGAAAAATATATAAAAAACACTCAACATTTCCAAGTGACATCTTCATGATAAATTTAAGCAAAATCTGAAAAATCCTGTATCCTGTGAATGAATACACTGAACTAGTCATACAATATTTGAAGATAGAGTCACTCTGTAATTTCAAGACATGAGCCTCTATCTCATGTTTGACATCTGCTAGTAAAGGTTTTTATTTATCAACTGGGATGAAAATACATATAATTTTCTATATACTGACAAACAGTGGATATCTAGCAAGCATTTAATTGACAGAGCAACTTAGTTTCCAATATTTCACCAAGTTTATAAAGAAGAAAACCAAGGCAGTAAAAAAGAAAAGTATATTTTAGTCTACAACAGAGAATGCAGCAAGCCAGCCAGATATGACAGTACAGGACTTTTGTGAGTAGACATCTTCATACTACAATGCATAAGCTTGATGCAAGACAATGGCAAGATGCATAGAAGTGGTTGGGTGGATGAAAATTATGGAGATGAGGAGGAATGTCAAGGAAAGAACAGTTACTAACTGGTGTTTGTCCCGAGGCTGCCGCATATGTTTGGAAGTGTTGTGCAGACTGGACGTACTGGAGCTGTAGATGGTGACTGGGGGAAGGTATAGGGTTTCTGGAGAGTAACTGAAAAAAATCAAGTTTTCCTTTTTCTTTATGTGTTAAAAAATTAAATAAGTTGCCACAACACACACTGAATAAGAGAAGAAGGCTGTACTGAAAATCTCAGTGAGTTGCAAGATGTAAAAAAATGAATTAGCTTTGTTTTGTTTTTTTGAAGAACATGCAGTAAGAAGAAAAAAGTGATTTTTAAAAAATCTTTCCAATATTACATATATATTTTACATTTATTAGTTTTAATTACCTTTATGTAAAAAAATTCTCTCTATAGGTTATATATTTTTATACACACAGTAGCAGTTTATTTCATTCTGAAGAACAGCAAATTCACAATACCTCCTCTATTCAATCAATTTGGGGTCCTAACTGCCTCAGCTGATAAGGCTGAATGTTTTGTTTGGAAATTCTCATAAAATTCAACGATTGACCCATCCAGAGTACCCACACCTGATTTTTCCCCTAGAACTGAGACTCTATTGAGGGAGATGAGCATAACTCATTAAAGATATTGGACATCATCTCTAAATTAGACTCTCATAAGGCAAATGGTGGGGATGGGATACCAGCCATAGTCCTGAAGAAATGTGCTCCTGAGCTGGCTCCAGTTTTCTCCAACTATATAATTATTGCCTTAATGACTCTTGTTTCCCAGCCTGTTAGAAGTCCTCATGTGTTATCCCTGTTTTTATAAGAACTCTGGAGACCCTTTTGACCCATCTAACTACCATCCTATCAGTCTTCTACCACTCTTCAGCAAAGTCTTTGAGGCTTTAATCATTGTTGAAGTGGTCAAGTATCTTACCTCACAACAAGCTACTCTCTGACAAACAATATGGTTTCTGCTTTGCTTGGTCTACCGCTGACGCGATCACAGCCATAACTGAATTTGTATACGAAGCACTTGAGAAGCTTGAGCTGTGGCTCTAGATATCTCTAATGTGTTTGAAAGGGTTTGGCATGCCAGCTTTCTTTCTTCATAAGCTTCAGGGATATGGTATTACAGGGTGATTATTTGACTTAATACAATCATTCCTGTATAACTGTGAAATGAAGGTTGTCCTAAATGGGTTCTCCTCCAGTTCCTTCATATGAACGCTGGTGTTCCTCAAGGCTCTATCCTGTGTCCTACACTGTTTCTGATCTTCATCAATGATTTTCCTGATGTCATCAGTTCCCAAGTAGGCATTTACGCAGACAACACTACTATTTACTCCTGTCTCAATAGTAAATCTGACATTGCTGACAAAACTAACCTGGCCATTGGTCTTGAAAAGAACCTCTAATCTGTGGTTGACTGGGGCAGGAAATGGCTTGTAAACTTTAATGCCACCAAAACGAAACTGTTCTCAATTACCTGCCATAAAGAACTCTCCCTGCCTCCTAACAGAATGGCTGATGTCCAACTCCACAAGAGCATCTCTCTGTGTCTGCTTGGTCTCAATGCTTTCCACTGACCTGAGGTGGAACAACTACATTGAATCAATAGCTTCATCTACAACAAGTTGGTTCTCTGTGTCTCTCCAGAAGGTTTTTCTCACCTGAGTCCATTCTTCAAATCTACAAATCTACCATTCATCCTTGCATTGAATACTGTTGCCATATATGGTCTGGTGCCCCCACTGTTCATTTCGAGGTCCTTAACAAAATCCAGAGACAGATATGCAATGTGATAGGTCCTGATCTGGCATCTTGTTTACAGTCACTTTCTAACAGATGTGCAGTGGCTCCCCTCTGTCTTTTCTACAAATATTTTCATGGCAACTGCTCTGATGAGCTACTTTCACTGGTACTCCAACTGCATGAATTTAAGTGTGCTACTAGGTTGGCATCTCAGTCCCACCCTTTTACTGTTGAAACAGTTAAATGTAACTGCCTCTTCTACTCCAATGGCTTCTTCTCTTGCACTTCCTGACAGTGGAAATCCCTTCCTCCTACTTGCTTCCCTGATAGCTATAATCTTCAAATATTCAAATGTAATGTCAATCAACATCTTCTGATGTCTTGATCCTGATCCCTGTCCTTCTCTATATCCTTTCCTCAAACAACCCTCTTTACTCTTGCTCTCCCTCTCTGTAACCCCTTACATGCTAATAGCACTCCCACCTTGTTTGGGATGAAATGCTTAAAAAGAAAAAAAAAAAGAAAAGAAAAAGAAACCATATTTATCATAAACTATGCTGAATAAATACAGAGAGAAGAATAACAAATTTTTAGGCTATTTTATTAAACTTTTGATCTTTCTATAATTTTTTTCTTCAAAATAAAAAACTAAACCCATAAAAAGTTTTATAAGGTATATTCATAATATGAGAAAAGATTTTTTTTTAAAAATCACAAAAATGAATGAAAATTTTAACCTGTTATGAGTTGGACATATAAAGGGAATAAACAAATGAAATGTTTTATATGACCAGGCTTCCCTCAGTGTAAAATAGCCATTTTTCTGTACACTGTACCAAAGAAAAAAATTTTAGCAATTAGGCTTCTTCAAAGGAGTTGAAATATTCTATTAAAAATTTATCTTGTTACATCAACTTACTTGTGTGCTTGGAGCTGGTAACACTTGGATGGAACCCCCAGTTGACTGTGCAAGAGAAGTAGGTACAAATTGTATCTGAGTTGGCCCTGAAACTGTGGTAGATACTGGTTGAAGGTTCATCATTTTAGGGCGTATCTCCTCCTTCTTAACAATCTGTTGTAGCATTCCTGATGCCCTAGTGCTGAACTTGGGGGTAGCTGTTGTCTGCTCAGAACAGAAAGTAGTAATTTTTTACTTTTAAGTAATAAATTTATCCATTTGTAATAGTAGTAGTATTATTAGAAGAAAAATATGAAAAGATCAAAGATATACTACTGAAAAGGTAAATATCTATGCTAATCCCAAATTATTTTGCATATATATATATATATATATATATATATATATATATATATATTAATACTTACATTAAGAGTTTCCACAGACTTGATTTCTGGAAGTTGTGCATTTGTGCTCACTGGTGGTGGTGGTGGTGGTGGTGGCTGTTGTTGTGGTGGTGGTAGTGGTGGCTGTTGTTGCTGTTGTTGTTGTCTCAAGTTAGGAATTACTACAGGAGTAGTTGTATTTGAATTATTTGTCTTGGTGAGTACTTCTGATAGGGCTACCACACCCTGGGGAGCTGGATTTACTAAGGTTCCACTAGGGTTACTTGTTGCTGTGGTCATTACAGGAGTTGGTACTGTCAATTGAGTCACCTGGGTAGATTGCGGTAGTTGTTGTGTACAACTAGTCATATGTTGTGGCCAGTGGTTGGCTTGACACTGATAGTCACAGTAGCTTGTATTCCAGCAGCAGTACAAAAGAGCTTCTTTGCCACAGTTAGCACACTGAAATGTAAAAAATGTAATGGATGTAGATTTTATTATTCGTATTAGTCCCATAGTAAAAGAGAAGGAAGGAGGTGATAATACAAATCTCATTGTCCAGGTGTAGGCATATAAACCATTTCATTTCATGACCTTGTCAAAGTTTAGCTGAAGCCCTAGAAGATTACAATATTTATCTATAACTGATAAAAATATTCACATTATTTAAACATTAGAAATAATTCAAGATACAATAAAATTCGTTTATTTAAGAATGCTCAAGTTTTACACTTTATCAAAAAGATTAAGAAAAAAATAAAAAAATAAGAGGAACAGTTCAAAAAGTATTTTACATCACACACAACTTATTCATTATTAACATAATGTCAGTGATAGAATTCAAGAGGTTCAAACAGTTTGCAGGAGCAGTTTACTAAATTTCTGTTCATAAATTCCCTTGGCCTTAATATCCACAAAGAAAAGATTAAGGGATGCAAAAAAAAAAAAAAAAAAAAAAAGAGAGAACCAATTCCTAATTTCAAAGGTAAAAATATTTGGGATGGAAAAGAAAGGAGAACCTGTCTCTAAAAAATTGGAATTCTACGACTGCATGATGTACATTATCACATAATTAATTTTACAGACTAAAAAAAAAATCAATTATTTGACAAACGAGAACATTGATTTAACAAAAAAAATTTCACTCCATTTGTTTTGGAAGAAAATTCTGAATAAACGGGAAATAATCCAAAAATTTAATTTGTCAAAAAACTTAGAAATAAGCAACTGAATAAATCAAACTGTTATATAATTATTTTTTAAAAAAAAATTTATAACATAAATATGTTATAAAATCACTACAAAAATAGTGATTTTGTTTCAACACCCCTGGTGTCTTATCAAGTGATGATGTTGAATGCAAAATAAATGGTTTTAAAAGTTTCAAATTAATTAACGATCCTTCGCAAGGGGAAAACACTGTTATGAAAGCTAGAATGACCAATCAAATTACAAGTATAAGAAAATTCAAAAGGCTTGACAACGGAGTCATGTTATAATAGCTATTCAAATCTTTAAAATACGGGTAAAAAAGAATTTATTCTAACCAACAATTACTAAATTCTATGATAAAATTTGATATTAAAATTAAAAACTGCCAATTTTAAAATCCAAATTTAAACACTATTAATTTTAAAAATTATAAAATTACTGAGGAGAAAAGAAGAAATACATATGTTATTCAATTTATTTCTTCATTGAAATTACGTTAGAACAGACGCTACTTCATCCGGTCATCCGACAATATATATGTATACATTTTAATCCCAAGTGTGTGAATGGGGTCCTAAACTCACGCGTAAAACAACACAAACACAATCAGATTATAATACATAAGCACCCAGACATATTTAGATATATATACATGCAAAAAAAGTGACGAGACAGGAAACATCTCCACGGCCCTTTATGAAAAAAAAAAAAAAAAGGGGGAAAACCAACACCTACGTACATACACAATTAAAAGTGAATGCACTTTCCATACACATAGACACCGATAAATACATGTACACACATCCACAGACACTGACCTAGACAATCAGATACCACAACCAATAAATAAATATTTAAGACTGAAAGTGTCATTAAACAAATGCTAGCCACTTATTAAAATATAACTTAAGTGAGCAAATATATAGAGATAAAAATGGTTAAAAATAATATTATTTAATATATTAAAAAACGAAAATTCCAAACCCACAAATATCAATAAAAACATATATTTCATTCATATAAATGGATAATAGTTTCATTATATATTAGGTGAAGGAAAATAAGATAAAAAGAACTACCTACAGAAATACGTGTACTGTCATACGTACATAGACATATACACATATATACACGTGGCAGCAAACACAAACCAGCTCACATATACATACATACATATACATAGAAATACATACAAATAAATATATAAACATAAATATATGCATACATATACATCTCTATGATAACATGTACACATACATACATATATACACACATTTATGCACACATACTCACATATATATACATATATACACACACCAATACATAAACATATATACACACAAAGACTAACTCATGTGGCAGTAATGACAAACCAGTTTCCATACCTACACATACACAAAAACAATCTCAAATATAATAGGTGTCAACACACATATATATACATCCACAAACATACACATATATATATATATATATATATATATATATATATATATATATATATATACTTTACATATAAACATATACATAAATATACCTATCTATAATAACAAGTACACATATATATGCACATACACATAAATACAACAACATTCAACTAAATACATATATATATATATATATATATATATATATATATATATATATACACTTACATATAAACATATACATAAATATACCTATCTATAATAACAAGTACACATATATATGCACATACACATAAATACAACAACATTCAACCAAATACATATATAAACGTACATACATAAACACACACCAATATACATGTACCCTAACATACATATATAAACACATTCATACAAACAGAAATATACATAAATATAAATTTAGATACACAATACAACAGGACACACATACATATATATATATATATATATATATATATATATATATATATATATATATATATATATATATATATACATACATACACATATATACACAAACACAAATACACATACATACACATCATTATTTTTTAACCTTTTCTCTTCCCCTCCTTTTTACCTACTTACTTTATATATATATATATATATATATATATATATACACACACACACACACATATATAGATGCAAACATACATATACACATATACTCACACATACACATATGTATACACAAAACCTACCAACATATAAATACACTTATAGACAAACATACACATTCAGCAATACAAACACACATACCTACACACAAATAAATATATACACACATGCACAAACACAAATAACATTATGCAGGTATACAATACACATTCATATTGTCAGGATGACCATCAGGCAATAAAAGTAATAATCTATTAAACATACATCGACATATCATTATCATTTAAAGTATATGACCCTGACAATAAGTTAAATTTATATATATATATAAAAAAAGAATAAAACAAACAATAAATAAATAAAAATGTTAGAAAAAAAAAGTAATATTTTAAATTTATCTAATTTTGTTCTTTTTGCTTTTCTACATAATGTATGTTTTTGGCAAAAAATATTTGGATAGATAAAGATTTATTTATTCTTTCTTAAAATTCATCAGTATCTATTTTTGGCTAAGGATGTTAATAAAAAAATAAAACACAATATTAATTTTAATACTTTAACTGAATTTTTCACTTAAATTCTCAAAAAAAATTGTGATTAAAATAATTAAAGCAACAATCAAGAAAAACATTTGGAATGTGATTATTATTGAAATATTTACACCCCTTGTTGATCCATCAATTTTAAAACATCAAAATAACTTTGTAAAACATTTTTGCAGTTAATATTCCATTAATAATAATGAGCTCTGGTTGATTTTGTTAATATTTGATGGTTACTCACTTCATTTTGAATAAAAGTGACTTTTCCCATTTGCATATGCAAAACAATAGGCAGTTAAATGAAATAAAAGGCATGGTAAGATACAAGAAAGTGCTGAAAAGTTCTTGGCCTGACCAACTTCCCAAAACCTAACCAAATGTTCAGACATCAAGACTTTTATCACCTTCTTATAATTAGTAACATTACAAATGCAAGATAAAGAGATATATACCCAAAGATAACATCAGAAAGTTATAATTCAGCCAGCCATTGGCAGGCCAATCATTATGATGTTCTAAAATTACATACCCTTAGGATTTGATGTTGGGTTGTATAAACAAAACCAGGTATGATCCTTGTTCATTAATGTTGATTACTTACATAAAAATTATTTTCCAAAATTCATTCTTTAACTCACATACCCATTGTTTCTTTTTCGTTTCTTCTACAGATTTTATCTTCTCTATTTCACATTGTTCTCGAATGCTGTTTCCATAACGTTCCTTTTCATTTTCCCAACTTGCTCGAATTTCTGCAACTATCAAATCTAAAAAGGAAAAAGTGAAACAAATTCTGAATTGAGTGTGACAATTTTCTTTTTCAACTAAGCCCTCTTTCTTTGAAATTCCTTAACATTCAAGACTAATCTCTAATAATAAAAGCTTAACTAATTCATTTTGTCACAAATTAAATTTCATATAATGTTCTTGATCACAAGCTAGACATTTCTTAGCATTAGATAATCTCACAAGTAATGTCTGAATTTAGGGTGAGAGAAAATATATCTAAAGTTATTGTTTAATTTGGATTTATTCATTAACACAGATTCTATCATAATTAGGAAGTAAAAGGAGACACAAATAATCAAATTCTACCAGAATTTTCCTTACAAAGAAGTTCATTTAGTGTTATGCTTTAGCCTGTTTACTTTTACTAAGCCATTATCTATGTCAATTAATATTCATTTATTTTTCATTATTAACAATTTGATGCATTGACAATGATATAGGGAAATGTAGGTATCTGTTTTTGTATTATAGTTGGTGTCTGTAAAAACATGGAGAACATGTTTTCCAAGATGAGGTACCTTTTCAAGTTGGTGCAGATAGCAATGAACTATTAAATGGTTTGAAATCAGTTTTTGAGCAAATTCTTCAACTATAACAGCACTGTCAAGTTGACAAAAGAAAGTCATCATTAAATTCAATGGAATAACCTGTTTGTAGTATGTATACTGAAACGAGTTACGCCCCTTGATACAAGACATTCTTGAATGAGATCCTGATGTGGTATGCAATAATAATAATATAAAAAAAAAAAACAAAAGCTCACCACGAGACGCAGACACAGTATACACTTTTTGAACTTGGAATAAACAAACAACTCTCAAGTGGATCTCCTTGTCTTTCATACCGAACCTCTCCACATAGAAATATTACACTATTAACAGATTTAGAAAAGGTGACTTCAGCTGTTTAAGCTGAAGTCAGCTTTTCTAAATCTCTTAAACCATTCTTAACAGTTTCTTTTGTTCAAAGAATCTATCTTGTAAACAATATTTTGTATTGCTTCTGTGACAGTATTGTCTTTCCTAAACTCATAGAGTATTACATATTTTAGGTGCTCTGTAGACATGACCGTTTTTAGGAGGGTCAATTTAGTAACTTAGCGACAATATAACCTGTTTAAAATTATATTAACATCTATTAGAATGTATTATTTCCAGTTATGCATTTTTGAATATCAAAAACATATTACTATCAGATTTTGGAGGTTGCATACAGGAATACCTGATCATTTCAACAAACATATCTTTATTTCCAACATAGAATTCTAAATAACTAAAATGAAACAAGAATCATAAAATGATATTTTTTCTTGGGTTTATTTTTCTAAACCATTTTTAACTTTTGGCAATCTTTAACATCTGTGTCTGCACCCCCCCAATAAAAAAAAAAAAAAATAATGTGTCAAAAGGATGGTTTTTCCATTGACACTGTAATTATTTTAGCTGCCTTCACTCCTTGGCAAAGTTTATTGTTTTATAAAGTGATTATTAGAATTTTAATAAAACTTAAACATATGACAGTAATTTTATACATTTTCTTTGTTCTTGAGAATTGAGAAAAAAATAATAAACATTATTTATTTATTAGAGTGTAAATAAACAATCTAATAAATAGTGTTTAACATTTTTGTTGTAAATTCTCAAGAACAAAACAATGTATAAATTCACTTTCATCATGTTCAGGTTTTATTACAATTCTAATCACTTAATAAAATAATAAACATTGAGTGAAGGTAGTTAAAATAATAGTGACATCAAGTGAAACACCATCCTTTCAACATACCATTTATTTTGTGAGCACAAAGGTTAAAGATTATCTAACTTTCATAAACCACAAATGTGTTTGAATATAATCCCTAAACATTATTTCCATTTTAATCATTTAAAATTCGTGCTGACATGCAGTATTCATTTCAATACTTTTTTTTTTGCTGAAAGTAATTAAGTATACTGAATTTATAATAAATATAAAATATTTGGGGCATCATTGTTAAACTTGATTTAATATTTACAGAGAAACTTAGCAGAATGCAATGAAAAAAAAAAACATCAAGTTATTCACATTGTGATTATTTCAGTGTTTTTGACAGTGATTAATTTCCTCAAAGTATTTGATGACAAAACTTTGATCAGGAAACAGTCAACAAGAATACTGGAAATGATCTATGATTAAAATACATTTTTTATGTGGTGTTATTTTTTAAATATTTAATTTTCTGAATATAAGCTAAATTTCTCTTACAATAAAATAATGTAGTTAATTTTTTTTTTTAATTTGGCAACCAGTTAGATTTTGATATCTTACTTGTATTGTGTTTAATTTCAGCTATTTCCTGTTCATGGATCCACCGTAATTTCTCCAGTTCTTGATGATAATGTTTCATAATAACCTGCAAAAAACAGATGTGGTAAGAAAATTTCAATGTAAAGCTTCAAATGAATGCACAAAGTTATAACAGGCTAAGTAGAGAGGCTAATTAAAAGATAACTGTTTTTAAATTAGCAGTTAGTAGGAATCTTATAATATTCTACCATTGTAGATGGTCATTATTGAGTGAGTCATGCTTATCTTTTCCCTCTTTTCTTGTGTTCTTGATATTAATTACAAAGATGGATTCATATACTAAAGGGTTTTATTTCCATTATGACATACTAAAGTAAGTGGCCAATTAAAATCATATCACCAAAATCTTTTTTTTCTCTCATTCATTTATTCATTCATTTGTAAAGTGTTAATGGCAAAATTAGTAGTTTCCATACAGAAACATTCAGTGTTATTGTCAGTTGAAATTCATAAAACCTTTTTCTTAAAACAGTTTGTTTTTTAGGAAATTAGATTTATCAAGTTCCAAGAGTTTATTCTAAGCTTCATTTAAAGTAGTGTGAAATGTCAACATCTTGGTTCTATTATTTTCCCTTCTAGTCTTCAAGTTATGTTGTTTTTGTTATTTAGTAAAGCGCTTTATGTTTGTAGCACCAGTTTATATGATGGATTATCTTCTTTAAAATCTAAAAGATTCATCATTCGCTTGAAGCCTTTTTTAATCACTGTACTGAGAAAATTGTGTGTGTTACAGCAGGATGCTGAGGATATCATGGACCGAGAGTGTGAGCAACAATGAGGTTTTAGAGAGGATGCAAACAAGGAGGAAGCTTATACTTAACATCAGGAAGAGGCAGATGAAATTTCTGGGACATGATGAGAAAGGATAGCCTGGAGAATCTGATACTGACAGGTCAAATAGAGGGAAAGAGAGACAAGGGAAAGGAATACACGACATAGCTGGCAGGCTTAAGCAAATGGATGACAGAATGTGATCTGGGAGTGGAGGCAGAGGATGAAACTTATTGAGAGCTTCAAGGGATGGGAGGAAGAGCCATAATCACCCACCCTGAAGGGACATGGCACATAAAGAAGATTGAGAAAATGGTTGTATATAGATGATAGTTTTGACATTTCTGAACAAGTTGAATGCATGATATCATATGAAAGTTTGGATCTGATGAGGCTATTTAAGAACATGACTTGGAGTTTCAAGTTAATATTTTGGTTTTGTAGCATCTTAAAATGTTGGACAAAAGTACCTTCAGTGCAACCTATCCTGTGTTAATTTTTAATTTCCTATATTAAATTTGTTATAATTGATTCATACACTGAGGTATTTGAAGTGTTTAGAATTTATTAATTCTACATTCTGAATTTTTTTCATGGATTCAGGATATGCACCATGATTACTTTCATTCCTATTTCAGATCATAGTTTCTGCTTTGGAAAGGGTTGCCTTAAGTTTTACTTCTTGGAATACTTGGTAGAGAATATCGAATTTTTTTTTGTTCAAGATCATTCTTATCCTGACTATGAACATATTTAAGAACAAGTCTTGTAACCTATTTGTCTCAGTTCATTATTGTTACCAGTATAGATATTAGCAGATGCTGATAGTCTGTCTTATATGCATTTAAATAAGTTTCCTTCCAACCAGATATTATTCTGCTTTTTTTTTTGCATGGATGAATGTTATGCTTTTCTACCTAGGATCAGAGTGTAGTATTTGTTTAAATGACAGCTCTTCTGAACAGGAATCAGTTATATTTTCTGATCAAGAAATATACATAATAATAGTATGCAAAAAGGAATTGATAAAAACAAAGGAGGAAGAGTAGGGGGAATAGGATGTAAAAGAGGAAGAGTGGGGGGGAATAGGATGTAAAAGAGGAAGAGTGGGGGAAATAGGATGTAAAGGAGGAAAGAAAGCTCATAAAAATGAAAAGAAAAACAAGTGAAAGAAAAATAAATATATATACATGGAGAAGGGATAGAGATGAAAAACAGATTTGCTGGTTGGTTAACAAGACAACAGGCAAAACATTGAAACACACACCATATATGTATTCTTTTATTATTTCAAAAGTCTATTGTCTGAGTAGACATTGCACATCAATACCCTTCAATTATAAAAGGCTATCTATTAAGCACTTTAACCATTACAAGTACAAAATACTAAATAAGGAGTGGGATTAATTACTACCTGATGGCTGTGTTTTGTCAACATGTCTGCATACATCTCTTCAAAAGATTCTTGGATGTTCTTTGACAACTAAAAAATGAGAAATACAAATTAAATGCCAGACTTTACAAAAATACAGAAATAGAATAGTGGCCATCTACATTTACTAAAGAATTGTTTCCTAATATATTAAAGCAAACATAGGGCACCTCGAGGCGGTGTAATGGTTAGCAAGCTTGTCTTGCTAGAACAATTACAGCTGAGTAGTAAGTTTGATCCTCATTGGGTACCCCCATTATGCCACATCTAAGCTACACTTGGAAAATCACTATATTAAAGCAAACACAATCCAAATATATTTCAATTTATAATAATACTTTGTATTCATTAAAAAGATTCTATATAAATCTTATCTTATATTCCAAAAATACATCTATAAATCTTTAATTTTTAGATAATATGCAAGTACAAAAATACATAAAATAAAGAAATTGGCTCTTATAAAAGTGAAATATAAGATGAAATTTGTCAAGAACATTTTACAACATTCAATTTCAAAATTATAAATAGAAAAATTTCAATTATTTATAGTAGAACTGTTATATAAGTAGGCTTAGTTGGAAGTTGGTATTTTGAGAATACTTGAGTGATCTTTGAAGATCGCGATTACAGATATTAAAAATGTGTCTATCAAGGTTTTTTCTTTAATATAGTAAACCCTCAGTTTGATAGGCCATAGTGTAGTAGATTTTGAATTTAGCCAACCTTATCAGAGGGCTGAAATTGAACTTGACCTGGACCAAACTAAAAAAATATTAAATTACATTTCATGTTCTTTTGTAATAATCAGTTTTGCTTAATTAAATATAAGATACAGAGTGAGGTAGCAAAACTTGTAAAATTTCTGTGATTTTTTAAATGTTCTTATTATGCATAAATAAGCCTATAAATAAAAAGACTAATAATAAACTCATGAGTAATGTCAAAATGAATAATTCTTAACAATAAGTGACTTTCATTATTTTTAATTACAGCCTCAACATGAAAAAACTATGTAACTCTTAACACTGAAGATCTTGTATATATTGACCAACTTCTCCATGAAAACAGTCTTTAAGGTATAGATATTAGAATGGGAGATCGTATTGGTGGCCTGTTCCAAAATGACCTACAAGGTGTTCATTTCTGAAGTAAGCCAGGAATCAGCAAAGTTAGCTTTACAGAACTGCATTTCTTGGTTGTATGGCTGGAAACACAATCCTGGGTTTATACATTGCCTTCTGAAGAGTTGGTCTTGAGCCATGATAAAACATGATATCTCAAAACCTTGTATTAGACATCAGCATTCACCTTTTCTCTAAACTTGTTGAAAAATGAGGATATCTTTTTTCCCCATTGGAAGCGAGGACACCCAACATCATAACCTGAATTAGAAGTCTGGTTCTCAAAGTGCCCTGAACATCAACTGTTGACTCTACAAGATACCAGTAATTTTGGAGGTTCAAAGTAATGTCCATTATGAAGATTTTTCCACCAGTGAAATTGTAACAGTGGACCTATGATTGTTTATATAGCTGAGCACTTTCTGGCACCTTACCAGCCTACTAGCTATTTGTGAGGTGTTTTAGCATCATAGTGTATGATTTAAAGCTCAGATCCTCATGCACAGACATTCTGAGGGTCTTCTGACCCACCTTTAGCTCAGCAGCTATCATACACATGGAGGTTGTTGGGTTCTTTGCAATTTTTGGTCATGAGGGTGTTAACAATATCCTGATTCCACTTCTTGCTGATCTCATCACTATTCAGCTTCCTGACATTCTAGACAGTGCATAAGGATACACCAAATAAGCTGGAAATGTTTATAGAATAGATTTGTGCATGTAGTAAGCCTGACACTCTTTGCTGTCTGTTCTTCTATGAAACTATTTATTTGCAATATTCAAAAAATAGGTGTACATTAATAGCTGACAGTATACTCTTCAATCCTCATTGGTTGCTCCATGCTTCTGGCCTTGTGCCACAAGTAAGCCACACTTACTAAATTTCCATTTAGTGTTGTGGTTGGTAGAAAATTTTAGCTTAAATTTTACTGTGTATATGGCTTTCCCATCCTCTAAACTTTACTTATGAGGACCTGAGTTACCAACAAAATGTTTAATAATCATTGAACTACATTGTCAAAAAAAAAAAAAGAAAGAAAAAAAGAAAAAGAAAAGAGTATTGATCAATTTCTTTTTTTTTATGGCTTATGTAAATAATCTGGACTTCATTGATTCCTCACAAATAAGAATTTTTTTAATATATATTGGAAATTAAGTAATTAAACCACTAAAAGTCTTTTATCAGTAGTGAGGTTTCCATTCTGAGATTAAATCTACTTTAAATATGTTTCTCTTTTCTTACGCGTCATTATAAAATAAATTTTTTATTAATTAGAATGAGATAGCATAATAAACAAAGCCAATTCCATGTGACTTACTTGTTTTGTATACTTCTCCACAAGCTGATTTATTTCAACAGGTCGACTGATATCATTTCGAGCAGGGTTTGAGCTTCCACCACTCATGGGACCACTGGTAGTGCTACAACTGCTCGTACTTGCACTATTTACATTGCTATTAATCTTGTTCTTCAATAATCCAAGCAAAAGAGTTGCTTCTGTTGTGGCTGTTGGGAGGCTAAGGTTACTCTTGCTATTTCTGTGATAAAGAAAACAAGAAAAAGTCACTGAAAAATGGCAAAATTTAGTTGTAACTGAAAGATGAAAATGTTGGAAAATTGCTGTAGCTGAATAATTATTATCAATATTTTTTGGCTTTTATTTTGTTATCTTATTTTGTGTTATCTCATTTTCAGAATACATTTTGTGAAAATTATAAAATTCTCTTTTCTCACTATAATAAAGAGCTTCAAAATTTAAACAAAATAAAGATCACTGTTATATACAGTCCAACAATATTTAAACTTCTACTTAGGCAAATTAAATTCATGAAGACAAAACTTCTTAAGATGATTATTAAAACAAAAAGTTCAAGCAATATCAACCATCAAATATAGACTACAAGGATTTTTAAAATCAGGGAAATAATTTGTTCATATTTGTTTGAATTCCAAATCAGTGAATTTGATAAAAGTAGCTAAAAAATTTATCAAAATGCATTTGAAATAACTGCAAAAATAAATAATGAAGTTTTTTGGCGTAGATGCATGTTTATCAACAAATACAAATATAGTATCATTTGTTTTTTTGTTAAAATAATGAATTAAATTGACATATATGTAGATGAAAAAAAAAATGAAATAAAACAGTGATTTAAGTATGTACATTACTGACTGGTGTTTATTTTTATTTTAACTATAAAAATGTTTTGTCAATTACCTCATGTTTTGGCATAACGTCAAACCTCACTAGACAGGTTTAGGGTAAAGCTTGACAAAAACTAGGCTAGATTAGCAAACTAAATATACAATCTAATACTATGTTGATATCTTTGCTCTTTGAAACAAAACAAAAAGCTTGAGTGTCTTTTTATCTGAAAAATGCCATTGCTATGTGTGTGTTGAGAAATATAGCATAGATGTTGATTTACTTAGTATATGCAGGGGAATCTTGTCAGGATTGTCAGTGTCTGAATGAATTATTAACACCCTGATCTAGAAATCTAAAATCATTTATTAAAAAACAAAACAAAATAGGGAAGACCAAAAAGGATAAGGATACTCATCTAAATAACTTGTGAAACAGTGACAGACTAAATCAAGATATCAAACCAATATTTAGGCAATCTAAAATTATATACAAGATCTGTATGTATACACACAGAGTTATTTTATTAAAATCTAAGAAGTTGTTTTGTCTGCTAAATGGAAAGAAGATTATTCCAGTTAATTCTCAAAAACAAAAATTATTTTTGCATAACAAATTTTGTTAACATCAATAGAAAATATTGGAGTTTTCCAATTAAATATGATATTAACATTAAAATGAAGGTAAGTAGATTATAAAAAAAAGAATAAAATAAAAACCATCTTAGGACAAAGCAGTTTTCTGCTTCTTAAATTTCATAATAGTAGATATAGATGAATGAAACTGTTGCATGTATTTGTTTAAGTTATTTCCCCTTAGATTAACCACATCAAAATTCTCCAAACCATTTTACATTGGTGATACTTTTTAAAAATATAATCATTTCTTTGTTAATGTCATTATTATTTTTTTTTTTTTTACTGATGTTTACTCCACTCAATACAAGGTCCAAGAGCCAGTCAAGGTAGAGGGCTACTGAGTGGTGTTGTATGAGCATAAGAAAAGGCAAGAAATGCAATTCATGAGGTTATGTAGGAAAAATAATGGTTAACCTGAGACTTAGAGGTCAAGATGGTAGTGATTGCAAAAACATCCTACTGGGAGTCTGTTCCACAAAGCAGCAGCCTTTGGGAAGAAGCTGTTTCAGCTCTGTGTAAGTGATATGGCAGATCACAGTTGCAAAAGTCAGAGCTAGTGGAACCAAGGAAAGTAGCTTGTCAAAACACTTGCCATGGAAATAGTGATAGGGTAGCATTCATCACTCACAAGGCTACATAAACACCTTTGAATATCAAGACAGGCAAGTGAGGACCAGGCAGCTTCAGTTCAGATATGCCAGCAATACTTTATTTTTGGTCTGATCTGGCTTTTGCAAAGATAGTATATTACGAGTTACTGGAGTGGTGCAATGGACTGATAATTTTTCCAGCATTTTTAGCAATAGATTGCATATACAAGTTCCACTATAGGTGTTGGGTGAGCTTGAGTCTCAGTAGACCCTCCTTGAGAACACCCATCCATCATAAAAGTTTAGAGTTTGCTTGGTGATGATAGAATGTTACTAGTTTAGATGTAATCAGTTTTGCAAGTCAGTTCTTCCCTACCAATGAGCCACCAAGACTAGGTCAGAGGAGAGATTATATCTGTATTGTGGATTGTAACAATCAATTTACCTAAAGTTTAAAAAAAAAACCCTTTCCTATCATAGTTATCAATGAATGTTAAAAATATAAAGCTATGACTTGCTAATTACAAATTATATACATAAATTAAATACAAATTTTTGCATTTTCAGGTACAGCCAATGGCTAGACCTGAAAATGGTGAGAAAATTAAAAGCTAAAAAAGATCTGCAGTCTAATGACAAGCTCAAAGCTGGCTACAGATACTGCTCCAAGTAATGAAAATGATTTTAAAGTACAAAGCCAAGTAATTATAGAAATTTACTAAACCAAGTCTGGCCAAAGAGATCAAGTAGGAAGATTGAGGTTTAGAAAAATGGCCTGCTTATCTTGAAAATCAGCATTCAAAATCCTGGCTTGTAATTGAACTTGAACACCAATTACTACTGTCAGTGAGAAATGCAGAACTGTCTTAGCTACCAGACAGGCCATAAGCTACAAAAAATCTAGACAGGCTTGTATGTACTATGCATCTGCTAATAATATATTACTATGCAGAAATAGTTATTAAAATTATTAAAAATGCAATATTAGCCTTTATTATTAATTTAATAAAGAGTGTTGCTCTGAAAGTAACATTGCTGATCTTATGTTGGCTCACCCTGTCTGAAGTAGATATTGGTGTTAGAACAGTAGAGGTTGAACTGTCTCTAACAATAGCCCATTTTTATGGGTTTGTCACAGATAGCAACTGAGCAGCAGTCTAGCAAAATGTCACCTGACATGAAAGTGCTTAGCAAGTAGAGGTGTTTTATTTAATTTCACCATGGGGGGAAAAAAGGTATTCTGAGGGAGGTAACGCAACAACTCAACTGATGATAGCAGGTAGGAACAAAGAAACCAGTGTCGCACGTCCAACCTTCTCACGAGCCGAAAGCTCTCAGATCCGAAACAGCAAAACGAGCCTGTTTTATACAGCTGAGGACCGACCACGATTTGCATGCGAATGACGAGACAACGAGATTTCGCGTTAACTAACCGAGACTGCCCGGCATAAAATATGGGCGCCGCCATTTTGGTTACTTTTACCGTTGGGAGGACCGGAGTTTGCACACTGCACAGATCCGCACGCGTTTCCGAGGTAAGCCATTTTCACAATTTTCCCCACATATTCATTGATGTTAGTTGAATATTTATAGAGACCAAATAGTGGATGTGAGCATAGTTAAGCAGTGAGTAATGCATGACAACAGTGATGTGACATTCAATGTTTTGGGTGGTCCTGTACAGCAGTCAACTCTTAAAATGCAGGCTCTTGTTCATCAGTAGTGATGATGTGAGGAAAATAGTGTTTTGCAGCTGAAAATTGATTTGTTCAATGGTATTATTGTGTACCCTGTATCTGTTGTAGGTTTCATGGAAGTAACTAAGAGGCATTACTTTCTGATGTCACTTCTATAACAAATTTCAAAAAATCTGCAGATCAAAATGAAAATTATTAACAAAAATTACATTGAAACATTTTGCAATACCTTTGATACCAAATTTCATTGATGATAATTTTAATTCATGGATTTTTATAATTATCTCTCAAAATTAAGATACCCTATTTTAAGAATGCTCAAAACTACATCAGTTTAATTTTCAGTCTCTTGTCTATACATATTACAGCATGAGTAAATGTTTTGTAACAACCTTTAAAATTACAGGTAGTGAGAATAATGTGATAACAGTAGCCAGTTGCGTTCTATGTGTTTAAAATAAATTTTGCTTGTGCTTTCAAATATAGTTTATGGTTATGTAAAAAAATTGTTTTATAGCATAAAAACATTTGATATTAAGTTACAAAAATAAATATAAAATGAAGAGGTGCATTATAAAATAAGACCATATATGTTATACTCTACTGCAAATTAGATCTCTTTCTGATTCACTGTACATGCCAATCAGATGTGAGCACTAAACAAAACCCCAAATAAAAAAAAGCTGTCTTTTGTGCAAAGGCTTCATGCATTACATCTGGCCTATAAAACAAATCTACACAAAATTCTAAAATACAATATAAAAGAAGCCAATCAGGAGCATTGCCATCAAAGAAAACAGATGAGTCTGGGAGCCACCAGATTTGCTTAAAGAAAACCCCTCACAGAATGACAGGCCAACTGTTGATGTTTGTGGGCTATCAACATCACTGCTATGATTTTGGTTGACTGACCCAACATATATCTACTTGAGACTCACCCTCCTCCAAACACTCACACCATACCAACAGAGACATTCTGTTCACACCCTCTGTATCAGCAAAGTCAGATTTGCAGCTTCACTAATACATTCTAAGCCTCTCACATTGTCACCACCATGACCTCAGTCTACCAACCCTCCAAACGCACTAATGCCAAGTCTTACCAAGACTCGCCTTTCTTCAAATTGCTTTCCTTACACATTCACTGTAATGGCAACCAGTTTTGCAGCTTAACTATCACACTCCAGGTCTCTCTCAACATCACCACCGTAACTCTGGTCAACTGATCTGACAAATCTGTCAACCCCAAGCCTTAACAACAAAACCCTTACATCAAATTGCTTCTATTACCAATGGCATATAAAAAAAACCCACATATTAACAATTTTGTTATCTTTTTCCTTCACTTCACAGGATGGTTATTGCTGTTTTTGTTTGTTCTCCCATCCAACTGGATTTTGAAAATAGCAGAGACATTCTTGCTTCATCAAGCTTCACTAATCCACTTGCTGTCACCACTGTGACTTTGATCAACTGACTCGCCAAATACACCAATTCCCCCACCACAGAATATTAAAAATGGAACTTATCAAAGAACAGAAATCAGTGTTATTATATTAAAAAACAAATATAATATACATGTGTGTGTGTGTGTGTATATTCAGGCAGGCATGCTTCATTAATTTCTGTTAATATACAAGAAAACTCATGCCTGGATTCAATGAATGTAAATATTCAAATGATTTGTATATATATTTTACTTACTCAGAATCAGTGCTACAGTCTTCAAGGCTCCTCCTGTTGATTGCAGACAGAGACCCAATTTTGGGCATCAAGATTTTACGGTTTGAACTTTTAGCAATTTCACAACTTGAAGAATTTGGTTCCATCACTGTCATTTGTGGATCTGAAAGAGTTCTCTGGATATCTGTTATGGTGTTCTGATTTTTGGGTGGTGGCCGGAATGCAGACAAAGAATTTGAATCAGAAACAGATTTGAGTGTATTTCTTTTCTGTGGTGATTGGACAATTGACATTTTATTCTCCCCTTCAAACAAGTGTCCATTAGTACTAGAGTTGGCTTTACCTAAAATAAAGAAAGGCAAAATATAAGATGAAACAACATCCATTAAAAATTAAATTGATAAAAATTTGATGTGCTCAAATGAATTATTGTTTTTATTATTTAATTTTCTTTATTTTTAACTTAGTCATATCCAGTTAATATCTGATGTATATGTAGAGATTAAATGATAAAATTATAGAAAAATTAATTTCTTGTTAATCTGAAATATATTCTAAAATATGTGAGTATGAATTAACTTTGTACTCTTTCTTGTTTTCATTTTAGGAGTTGCTTCTGGGATCAAAATGGTGTAGCCATTCTTTTCGATCTAATAAAAAAATAGCCAATTTCAAGCTAAATCATTTCATAATCATAAAACATCATTTTTAAAAAACAAAACAATTCTGTTTATAATGGCATATTGAATCGGTTGATGATTAAAAAACAGTTTTTGTTAGAAATAGGCAGAAATAAAAAGGTTTTTATGCTTCGAATGAAAGGGAAAATTAACTATTTTAAAATTGAATGAAGACAAAAAATAAATCACAGAGACTGAGAATAGAGAAACACAACTTTATCTATTTTGTTGAAAGCATAAAAACAAAGAAAGTCTCAATAACATTTCCTAGGGTTTCTCTTGGAACTTTTTAAAAAATAAATACAGAGTTAATCATATTAGATATGTCATATATAAAAACACAAATATCTAACAATGAAAAATCTCAAAATTTTCCTAACCCTTTTTTGTTGTCAACACAGGGGAAATGATTTCAACTGTTTTCTGGTGAGCTGAAATTTCTCCATCTTTTGAGTGAGCATTTCCAGAGGCACTGATTGAGAGGGAACTGTTTTTAACCATTCTGTGAAAATTCTGGCTGTAGGTGGCAGCAGATTCTTTACTGGACTTTTGAGGAGGGATTCCTGTCTGGATGATATCTACAGGTGATTCTCTTTCTTGTTTTATTTGATTTGGGGCAATCAGTTTCTCAGGTCGTTTAGAAGAGCTCCCCTCCATTAAAGATGAAGAGGTCAGAATGTTATTGTTTCTACTGTTGTTATTAAGAATGAGGCTATTAGCAACCTCTTCATCCTCTAATCCTGGTTCTCGCTTGATATTCAGCAATGGTGGGATTGTACTTTTCCCACAAATTTTATCATCAACATTACCTACACTCTCCATGCAAACTTTCACTGAAGACTTTTCAGGCAACTCAGAACAAGAATCATCACTTGGGAAAAAAACACCAGGTATGGCCTTTTTTTTGGGAAGTGGCAAAGTTGATGAAATTGTTCTTTTAGCTTTTAGCTTTGCAGGTTTTGGAGAATCTTTTGTAGTTGTTGTGGAAGTGACTGCAGTAGTAGTAGCAGTGGTAGTAACAGTAGTTGTAGATTCTTTTGGTGATGTTGTTTCTTTAGATGCCACTGTTGCTGTGGTTGTTGTGATGGTAGATGAAGCTGTTGTTGTTGTTGATGCTGATGATGTCTGCTGCATCATTTTCATCAAAGCACCACGCCTGGTTGTAATTATACTACTGTACTTGTTCTTCACAGCAGAAGCTGTTTTTGTGATCACAGATACCTTTTCGGACATCTTTTCTGATACACCTTTTGTGCTTTGCTTCTTTTTCTGGTTCATAACATTTGCATCTGGGCTGTTAGAACTGGCAGGAGATGGATAAATTTGTAAAGATTTTATTTTGGGAGAATTCTTTCCATTTTTCTCTAGGTAAGGACTACTGCTATCATACAATGTTCGGAATGGAGCATACTCAAAGGAACCAAACTTTTCTCTGCAATGAAAAACAAAAAGCAGTACTCATGTTTAAACGAGACAAAATAGTTGCAGAAAAAGAGAGTATTTAATTTTTTAAAATATTTTACTTAAAAAAATGTTTCTGATATTTGAGTATTTTGAGAATAAATTTTAATACTTTTTCTTCTGAACAATAATGTAAAACAATATTCTTTCAACATTTTCAAATCAAGAAAACATTTGTTCTGATAGACAATGAAATGTTTTGAACAGACTTTTCATTATAATGTCCTATAAGCAGATTTTTTTAAAAATAATTCAGACTGAAGAATTTGAGGAGTAGTTAGCAATGAAGATTAGATTTACTTCAGACAATATGAAAAAACAGTTGATCCAGCTATTGACAAAAGTCAAGAGAGGTGAGAGAGCTAAGAAAGATGTTAAATTAGGACTATATCTTTTGGTCATTCAAAACTAATTATTGTAAAACTGTCTGCAAACAACAACTCTTTTCAAAATATGTCCTTGTCTATTTTTTTTAATGACCTTTGTCAAAGAAGCTAATATATCACACTACTAAATATTGTAAATGTAACAAATAAACTTACTTGTATTTTTCAATGTATCTTTTCAATTCTGACATTGAATAATCAAAACCACTTCTTTTTGATCGCATCACTGTTGGGCATTCTTTGGAATATGCATATACTTGGGAGATAGGCACCCATGATCTGCAATATATTAGAATGAAATAGTAGCTTACTTTCAGTTTCTCATTTAACAACATCTGATAGCAACCACATTTTAAAATATAAATCATACCAAACATCATTTACATAATTTACATTCAGACCATTTTCCTCATCTTTGTTGTTGTTATCACAAATTTTGATTGTCATGTGCTCCAGCTTTCTTCAAGCATTTGTTGATCCTGATAACTTTCAAAGAATTTTAAATTAGACACATTATTTAATCTACAGAGCTAAATTTTTCTCATTCTGCTGTCTATGTCCAGGGATATCTCATCTGGTTCTTTATCTAGTATTGCTCAGTTATTGCTCACCCTGTTTTCCATTGAGTCTAAGCCTGTACAACCTGGCCTAGGGATTGAACTCAGTCACTATGTCACCAGCACTTTAATCCACTAAGCTAGTCAGAAAGAAAATGCCAAAACACTATAAATTCCTGACATATTTGAAGAAGCACTTCTAAAATATCCTCAAGTATTTGTTTTATATTTGTGACTTGCAACAAAATTTAACTTTAAAAGTATTTTTCTACAGAAGATTAGGTTAGAAGCAAATGACTAAATGTTGCCTTTTGTAAGCATAATAATATATTAGTGTTGTAGCATACCTATGGATGATAATGGGTATGTCCCCATTCACATAAATACAGTAGTAAATACTGTATGTTGGTCTGCAATTAGAGATTCATTGTGGAATTCACTTGACTCACTTCTAGCAGTTGACTACTTCTTCTACACACTGCTAGCGAATCTTATAAGTGTTGTTTGTGTCCTAAGTATTATCATTCATTACCAAACCTTGTGTGATTATTCTATTCAGTAATCTTCCCTAGGTTACAACAATTAGTATGGCCGGTGTTAATATTTTTACATATATTTCTTTTAACATAAAATCCATCAAAGTCATATTTTTATAAAACTTCTTTAAGATGCTTTAACTGTCTTTGTAGTTGTAATGCAATTTATTAAAACTCATCTGCTTGTTGCTTGCCTTACAAAATGTGAAGTCAGGCAATTAAAACCTTTGATTTTAAATGACTGTTTATACTAACTGTAATCAAAGTGTGGTTCAAATAAAAAATGTGTATAATTGAGTAAACATAAAACAGTTAAATAAATACAATTGAAAGGTTTCAGATGTGTAATATGTTCTGCACCAAAGGGCATTAAGTAATATTATTTAACACCCCTTTTTGAAATTCAAACCTTCTCTTAATTGTGTCCTCTGCACACTGCTCTGACTAATACCTGCTTTCCAGTAATGCTATTTAGACACTGAAGGATTCCCAATATTTTATTATTGGCTTTGCATTATATGGTAAATAAGGTAGAACTGTAAGATGCATAGTGTACATATAGGAACCAGGTGTAACTATGTAAAGTTTTCACCTTTTCTGTGTTGTTTAGTAGTCTACTCAGAATGGTAGTTGTTTTTCTCATAGTGGGCATGTATAAAAAGAAGAGAAGAGAAGAAAAAAAAAATTGTTTTTGTTATTTTAGCTCTTTTTTTTCTTCTTCCACTGACTCTATAATTCTTTCTTTCCTAATCAAATATCATTTCAACATATGTTATCTAGTTTTACTCAAGTTAGAGACATCTGTTTTAGATTGCAAAACAGTTATTCTTCAATAGATGTTTTGGCATTCTCTTAGTTAGGCTCAATGTTCTTGTTCCTCTCCAATGAATGAAGTGCCAAAACTTTCCTGGTTTAATTTCTTTTATTGAATTTAAAGTGTAACCACTCCCATGATATTATCATATCATTCGACAGGTGTCACTGCCAATGCACTCAATGATATGAAAACATATCATTCTATCAATATGTATTAAATGATGTTATACTCAGTTGCAATTAGATCACTTTCTGATTCATTTTGCATGCTGACCGGATGTGAATGCCATGAAGGCAGAGAATGAAATAACAAAAGATGCTTTCTGTGCATTAGGCTCCACATATTACGTCCAGTCCATGAAGCAAGCTCTGGCAGTGGCCGATCGCAAATGTTCCCACTGGAAAAAGAGATGTCCCTGGGGACTACCAGACTCACTCAAAAGCAGGTTCCTGAGAACAACATCAGCAACTGCGGTCTGACATGGCCACCAGCAGTCACACAGGATGCTGCTGCCACAGCCATCATGCAGGACACTCACCGCTACTGCCTTTCAACCTGGCTGTACCACTCAATGACAATTACCACTCCCAAGCTTGACAAACCACCTTGACTATCCAGCTTCGCATTGATAACATCTCAACCTCATTACCGCGTCAAACACCAGCCACGAGTGGCCAACTATCCAGCTTCAACACCACCCAGCTACAAGCCTTCATCATCGACAACATTGCCACCTTGGCAATTACCGACATGATAACATCATGTCGGTAATTGCCATCAACTTTAACACGTCACCTCAGCAACCTGCCACTGTGATCTCGATCAACCAACATGCACTGACCATACCCTGTGACCTCACACGAAACCACCATCCTGATGACCGGCCACTGAAACAGACATTCCACCTTTCCTTCAATATCTCTGTATGACATGCCAACAATAAACGATGTCCAAATCCTCCTCCTATTCCTTTCTCATGCTCTACCAAGTGCTTAATATAATAATGACAAGATAAAATACATATGTTATGTCTGTCATACTACAGACTAGTCTTTCTTGAACTTTTTTACTTCAGGTTGCACTGGAAGAATAACTAAAACTCTGGGATGCACTTTAAATTTTAGTCATTAAATTTGAATATAAGAACATAATAAAGAAGTCTCCTGAAATAAGCATTTACTTTTAAGACATTACATTATATATTTAAGCAGTACAGTTTTCATTTAAAGGGATTTATGAAGAATCTGCTATTTCTTTTTTTTGGGGGAAGCTGATGACTGATTTAACTTCCTTGAGGAAGGCAAAAAGGAAAGGATTATCTACTCATTAAAGATTAAGGAATTTAGCATCTGGTTTAAAATATCAAATGACAAAGAGTTGACTTAAATATAGGAGCCATATACTTGGTGTCTCTACCTTTTTAAAAATAAAGTTTTTTTAAATATAAAAATAATTCATAAATTATTCTTCTGTTAACTTGGGGCACACCTGGTTACCTTTCAAGGCATATTAGTGTGCTATGGGCATACCAGTTGAGAAATGCTGTTATAGAGAGAGTCATTTGTGACTTGTTTGATTCCTTTGATGTGAAAAATGTGCCAGATGATATTTGGTGATGTTATAATGTGAACATTGCTTTTACAACTTCTAGGGCCTTTAACAGTCTCTGTAATAAAAGTAGAATATTTTTAAAAATTGTTTAAGGAGGATCAAATAGTTTGTGGAAGGTTGAGAGGATGAAAATTTGGCCTTATAAAATATTCAACTCATCCACAAAGAAAAAGGAAAGGTAAAGAAGAAAGCAGATCAAGTGTAAATTCAAATTTTTTATATTTCAGAAATAGTTGTGGTGATTTAAAAAATATTTTTTCCATTTTTTTTCCTTTTTAAGTCTTGTTTCTTCATATGAAAACAGTTTTCATCTATCAGTGAATAGACTAGAGACACAAGTAGATTTCTGATTCCCCTTACTTCTTTCACAAATTATTACTCCAAATGCTATCAGAACTCCACACAGACTGCCTACTGTGTCCTTCTTTTGGGGGGGGGGGGGGCATAACGGCGTGAGTAATGGTTAGCAAGCTTGTCTTGCTATGTCAGTTACTACTGAAAAGTGAGTTCGATCCTCACTGGATGCCCCATGCTTTTGGCCTTGTGCCACATCTAAGCTACGCTTGGAAAATCTTTTCTTTGTCCTTTTATTTATATCTAGCACACAAACAGTAGTAGACACATGAAAACATATATTTAATGGATAAATGCTCAGCTCTGTTTGAATGCATTTTAGTTGAAGAGTATAATTCTTTAACAATTTAATAACTATACATACTTAAAAGCTTAAACTTTGCAGATTTGATATGTTTAAGTGTTGTGTAAATTTTATCTTTTTCCATAAATTATAAGTTAATTAAATTTTAAGTTGGTATTCACTTAGTAAGGACATTGTATCTTATTAATAAATTTAAAAAAAAAAGTTTTTATTTTGTCAAAAATTGATTAACAGAATATTTTCTAATAATGCATCTGCTATAATTTGAATCTGTTTAATTTGTTTCTTTTGCAAAATATCAATTTATATAGATTTTTTAAGTATTTCTTCACAAACACAAGTTAATAAAATAAGCAAAGTTCCAGATGATCCAGCAGCAACAAGAAAGTTAAGAAAAATAGAAATTATTACAAAACAGGTTTACTGTATTTCATGAAAAATAAGATAAGATTGTAAAATTTACTCCATTTTAATAAATAAAATTTGAGTCAATGATACTCAAAAAAAATTTTATCATGAAAAAATAGAATACATGGTGATTTTTAGAAATATTATTTTGAAAAAAAGAACATCAATACATAACACATTTTGTGTTTTCTACCACTGTAAAGAAAAAAGAATACAATAGTGTTCAAAGGTTTTTAAAATATAATATGAAGTCAATTGAACAGTGACAATTTTTATCTCCATCCTTTTGTTTCATAGAGTAGAGACTACATTTCAGTGATTTCAGATCAGTAAACAAAGGCTGAATAAATAATAAATTTTAGACACAGATGCATGTAAATATAACTAAATTCAATTTACCTGTCATGAGCTCCAAAAAATCGTACATCAACCATTCCATTTTTTTCTCGTAATGCCTAAAAGAAATATAGAATACTGTTTAAAACTTTTGTAGTGTAGTGTTTTCAGTATGTTTATTTTGCTTAAACTAAATTATAGTAACTAAAATTAATTGTATTTACAAACTCACAAAACCAAGTGAAAAGTGGTTGAAATTTATCCTTTTTCACTCGAAAAGCAGTGATTTCAGCATGTTTCTGTTGCTTACACAAAGTAGTGTAAGGAACATAAACATGCTGAAAATGCTAGTAACTAAAATTTAGTGTTTGCAAACTCACAAAAACAAGTGAAAAATAGTTAAATTCTAGCTTTTTATTCATTTGAAAAGTAGTATTTTCAGCGTGTTTATGTTGCTTGCACTAAGTTATAGCAACTAAAATTTAGTGCTTGCAAACTCACACAAACAAGTGTAAAGTGATTGAAATCTAACCGATTTTGCTCAAAACATTAACAGTATTTTTGAAAGCTAATACCAAAGAATACAATTTTGTGATTCACCTGGGAAAATAGTGAAAAGATTTAGCATTAATCAAAAGCAAATAATCACATTAAAAATGAATCAAGTAATAAAATAACAGCAATTATCAGATTTTACTGATTTTATTTTTTAAATGTTCAAGTGATTTGTTTATAATTTGCTTTAACATTAAAAAATATTATTAATGTTATGAAAAAATATAAAACATAGTTATAATAAAATGTATAGTAAAAATAAATAATTAAAATAGTACCTACTTTGGCTGGCCAAAATGGATAGCCTTTTAACTTGGCCCAAACAATGCGGTGAGGATTATTCTATAAAAAAAAATTTAAATATTATGAATTTGTGATAAAAATTAAACATATATATATATATATATATATATATAATTACATGAATCATTCATACAAAAAACAAATATTTAATGATTTAAATGGCAAGAATACATCTTCGCAAACAATTTCAATAAGGTACACTAACCCTGAACCTGTATATGAATGACATGATCCGTTTTTTGTATGAATGATTCATGTAATTATAAATTGAACTGCACCTATAATTGAAAAATATATATATATATATATATATATATATATATATATATATATATATATATATATATATATAAATAATGCAAATACTGGTACATTTTATGTAAAGAAAAATTATATTTGTACATTATAAATGGAAAAAATAATTATATAACACACATCAAGATATTTCTAATTTATTTATTTCATATTTTAAAAATAATTATATAATGCACATCAAGATATTTCTAAAAACTGTTAATATGTTCAATTCTGAAATATTCAAGGAGCTTTTTCAAAGTTATCTTCTCTCAACTTTCTTCCCAAATAGAGCATCCAGAATAGTTTTCCTCATTTCTGAGTGGAGACTTTTGAGTATTGAGAGTTTCATTGTTTTCCAGAAGTATCAGTAAAGACCAAACCTCATCCTTAGTACAGACTTGAATATGCTGTGGACATTTCTCATTATGACCAATACTTACACTTAAAATGGTATGGCAAGACTCATGCCAGATTCAGAGCTGCCCATAACCGTTGCAAAAAAGTTCTGAAGAATGCTAAAGTGAGCTACACAGTCAGTCTAAGCTAGAATTGACAACAAAAGACTTAGTTGCTGTGAGTTCTGGAGAATCAAGAATGAACATCACTTCAAACTTCACACTACAAAAGCAGTGCCATCTTAACTTCCCTCTTCTCACAGAGCATAAGCTTTGTAATCTCAATATCTTGGCTCAGAAAGTTTCCAAACTTATTCAAAATCTACTGTTCCTGATAAAATACTTGTTGTCATGCTTAAGAACCTTTGCCAAGAATTAACTCCAATCCTGGCAAAGTTGTTTGATCATTGCCTGAAAGAGACATTTTTTCCAAGTCTGTGGAAGTTGTCAGCTATTTGCCCTGTTGTCAAGAATGCTGATGAGTATTCCTTTCCATCACATTATTTACCCATCAACCTCCTTAGTGTCATTAGCAAACTCTTTGAATCTGTTATCAAGTAGGAGTTAATTCATCACTTCACCATAAATAACCTCCAGAATGACAAACATTATAAGTTTGGCTCCTCTAGGTCCAATGTTTTAACTGTCATCACCTACAGGCACTTGATAATAACTTTGTTACCAGAGCGATTGCCTTAGACAACTTAAAAGCTTTTGACAATGTGCAGCATAGAGGGTTGCTGCACTAACTCTCCAGCTATGGCATTTCTGAAAGAGTTTAAGTCCTTTCTTTCAGGTAGATCCATGAAAACTATTGTGAATGGACAGTCTTCTGAATCTCATGAAATCAATGCAAGTGTCCTGCAAGGTTCTCTCCTTGGTCTTATTCTCTTTCTGTTTTTTTACTAACAATTTGCCTAGGAACTTTCTCAAAGCCTTAGTAAACATCAATGCAGATGCACTGTTTATGGATACACTTCCAAAAACCAAGATGATCAGAATCTTGTAACTGATCTCTTCTCTGACTTACCTTTAACAGGAAAAATAACTGACTTGTAATTTTCAGTACCTCAAAAACCAAGATAGTATCATTTCATCATCACTGTTCATACCCTGAGTTTTCTTCAGTTGAGATGAATGGTTACACTTTCAATGAAGCTCCAGGTTTTGAATGTCTTTCGGATTTCAAATTCACTCCAGTTCTTGTAGAACTTGTATATACAATCTAGAATTGCTGGAAAAATAGTTGGCTCATTCTATTGCTTTCGGTAAGTATATGACTCATATTTTTACAACAGTTAGATTAGACCAAAAATGGAGTATTTCTATCATATCTAGGTGGGATTTACTCAATCCTCACTTTCCAGCTTTGATTGAGTTCAAAATCATTTACAAGGTCACATCAAGAAATGCTTGTTTTCCAACCTATTTACCACAGATGCAACATTGCAAGCATGCTGCTACTTAATTGCTATTGCAATGGCAAATGTTCAGATGAGTTCCCTTTTTTTACATCTAGGACATGCCATGCCACTTACATGAAGTTGAATCATTCTCATTTCCTCTGTGTTTCAACTGTAAGAAGAAAGTTCAACTCAGATAGTTTTTTCCCCAAGAACAGTGAGTTTGTGGAACAAACTCCTATGTGGGGGGCTTCTCTGATCATTTCAATGTTAACCTTTTAAGTCAAAGGTCAATTGTTATCTTTCCTCCTTTCCCTTATAATCCTTACTTTCTACCACTTTCTTATCAGGTTCATATCACACACCTCATTCATCATTACCATTGAGTGGTTCTTGAACCTTTTATTGGGTAAAATTTAGTATTAAAAAAAGAAAAAGTTGATATCTATTCAATATGTACCTATTTCTCATAAAGCAAATTTTACCTGAGCAGCTTTTTATCAAATTTTACATTCTAAGTAAAAAAAAACAAAAAACAAAACAATGATATATATTCAAAAGCTTTGAAAAACACTCTTATTTCTATTCTTTGTATATGGTCCAATACTACTAAAAGTAATTAAAAGTGAAAATTGATGTACATTTACCCACTTTAAAATATTACTATTTGAAAATTCTAAACTGAAGTAAATAGCTAAAATCACAATATCACATAGTTCAGTAGAAAGTGTTCTTGTCTAAGAAGGCTATATTTATGAAAGGGGTGCTGAAAAGTTTTTGACCTGACCTACTTCCCAAAAATCTGACCAAATGACAAAATATCAGAATTTTTTTCAAAGGGTTTCTTGAGAAGGCCAAGAAATTTTCATCACTCCTTATACTATCAAAATTCAGACAGATCAAAATTGTATATTATGTATGACATGATAATTTCTGTGTAATTGTAGAGAAACCAGCCAAGACTATTAGGTTTCCTCCAGGAGATTGAAAGGAACAGCTACAAGATTTAAATGAGTTATTTGGACTACTGCCACCACTGCGGTGGTAGTAGTCCAAATAATTTTGTAAACCATGTATCTAATAGGCTGGTAAATACAGTATAGAGTGAAGGGAGTATTTTAATTTAGATATACACTAACTAGGGTATAAATTCAAATTGAGTAAGTTTTAGTGACGGTTTTCACATTAGCTGTTACTAAATGCAAGTGCATGAAAAGCTCCTACACTAATAAAAAACTTATGATTTAGCAATTGCAATGTTGGGAGGTCTAGCTGGCTTAATGGTTAATGGAAAAGAGACTGACAGTTTGAAGCCAAATTCAGACTCCAGATCAGGCAGTTTGGCTTTACTTTGCATGAATGCACTTGGGAAATTGATAGATTAATAAATTTGTTTTTTTTTATGGCTTATCAACCCTTTTTGGGTTGTAACATTAATAGTTTTTTTTAAAAGAGCAGTGATTTTTCAGATTAAAGTCCCACTATTTAAAACATAGCACAAAGAGGAGTAAATTCATACCTTTCCCAAGGATATTTGTGTGTAAGTGAATGTAATGAACACAACTAGAATTCAAACTTCATTTTGCAATTTTCTTGGGAAAAGGTAAAAATCATCTCATCCTGCCAACTATGACTAAACAGTAGGGTAGTTAGAACCCTTTAGACTTGTAAGGTAGTCTATCTTCAGCATCAGGCTTGTAAAGTGACTAAATAACAACATCAAAACAATATATAGCATAGCTGTAATATTAATGTTGTATTCAAATTATAAAGATTTCAAACAGAATCATTAACACTTACACATGGTTCACAGAACCATTCTTCTGTAGTTTGTTCACATGATCTTGCATAGCAATCAGGGCATATTTCAATTTCTGTCATCTGATGAAAAATTATTTATAATTAGTATTACAACTGTAAGCATATAAATGAAAGAAAGTTGCAAAATAATTCTATTTCAATATAAATTCATCATTTTAACACATCCAGTACTAAAAAAATGCTAATTAACATTTTCACTACTTCATATGTGAACACACAAAAAATAAATAAAAACTTGGCGCTGAAGGTGTTAAAAAGGATATTTCGATAGGAATTTGGAAATTAACTATATGAAAATCATGTATTTTCAAAAATTAAACTCACTAATTGCTATCAATTTTTACTTGTCATTGGCTTTAAATAATGTGACATCATAGTAATAAATTCTATTCAGGACAAAGTCATTGTATAAAATGAAATGAGAAGTAAAATAACATTTTAATCAAGTATTTATGAAACCAAACCCAAAATGCTTTTAGATATTTGTACCTTTATCATAAGAAAATGAATATTTGCCAGTCATTATAAACACTTTTTCTATTTTTAGTACAAAGAAAATGTTTATTTATTTATCGCCTAATAATTTAAATAATTAAAAAAAACCTACCTCATGTTTGCAGATTTTTAAAATCATCTTTGCACTGCCAGTCAGTTTGTGATGAGCTATAAAATAAAAAAAATAATAAAAACTGCAAAACCTTATATTAATATTGCCAAAATAAAAATTTTGAATAAAACAGACTGAGGCTTTTCACAGAAATCTTCAAGATTGGAATTTTAAAATGCAAAATATATCTTTGAAACTCAGATCTAAAAGTTGTTAAATAGTGAAAAAAAATTTACTTTTTAAATTGTGGATGAGATTTTAAAAAATTACCAAATGCAACTTACACCTGAAGGCAAAGTGTTATGTTCAAAGAAACATCAGCCAAATTGTTATGCTCAAAGAAACAAAGATGAGGAAAGTAATTAGAATAATCCTCCATCATCAATTAAAGAAAACAGATTTACCATTTTAAAAACCCATTTAAAGTCTTTCAATTGTAACATATAGTATAAACAATTTAAGGAAATATTGAATAAAAGAGCATTCAAAAGAAATAGGTGAATTAAAGTCTCCAGTTAGAGAAAAACCTACTTCCATTGAATATGATACAGTTGTGCAGGATCCACTTTACATCAGCCAGGAAAGCTTCAGTGGAGCCATATTTGTCATTCTTAATATTCTGTAATACAAGGACAAAGATGGTATAAATTAAAGAGACAAAGATTAAGAGATGACAATTTGTCTGTCAAAAAATTCTGTTGATGTGTTCAGTCATAAATCCAGATAAGTAACAAAAATAAAAGAAAGACAAGTAAACTTAAAAAAAAATGTTGAAATAATTGATAATTTCAAAATTTATCTTTTAATTACTTTTAGTACATTTTGGAAGAAGAAAAAATAACTTCTGTTTCCTCCCCATGGAAAATGAAATCTAAATGTCATCATCCAAGAGTAACTTGCTAGATTTGAGAAATAATCAGCTATAATGTTGCTAATTCACAAAGACATTATGTTTCTGTCTATAAATTGAAAATTATTGGAAATGTGTATTTCTAAAAGCAGGCACATTGAAGTTTGTCCATATCTATTACTAAAAATGACATTTCTGTCTCTTTATAATAGAAACTTTATGAAAATCATAGATTAGTCATTTACTCTTAGATGAAATCAGGACCATACTAACAGCTAGGAAATTAACAAAATGAGCTCTGTAAAAGTGAAATTGCAATATACATGGATAAAGAAACATTTGATAGATGCTATTCAATAAAATCTGAAGTCCACTTAATAAGCCAGCATTAAATCCTTCAACAAATGTAAAATAATCTTTTTTTAAATAATTACTCTTGTACATTGACTATTCATAACAAGGTTTTGTCAAAATAGAAACCTTATAAATATAAATTCATTATTGATACATAACATTAATATAGAGAACAAATATAATATAGTTAAATAAGATTGATAGAAATATTAATACTTTAACAGTAGCTGTCTATTTTTTTAAATTTTCCTGAAAAAATTTTAAAATTTAATTTATAATGAATGAATATTGTTCTAATCTATGGCAGTATCACTATTATAAATTAAATATTTGTATGAAATCTATAAATTATATGTTCTTAAATATCATATTCTTCAGGATGTAGGTGACCATGACTCTCCAGATTTTTTTTGTTTTATTCTCTGTGAATAGTCATGCATTCTTGGAAAAGATAAGGGAGTGGTTTCCTGTTGCCTTCTCAACGGTTTGGAATTGGTTTTCCTTATTTTAGACTGATTACTATCCAAGGCTAGAAACCCAAATCCACTCTGCTATTTAACCTATAACTGTGGGGAGAAGAGAAAGATACATGCTTTTCCCCAGGAGCATTTGTGTGAAAGAAAACATAGGCAAGTAGGCTGGAATTTGAGCTTGTCTCACCAATTCCACACTGATATCCATTACATTAACTGCATATCCCCAATTATATATTAGATTCAATATAAAATTCCAAAATTAAGGACCTAATTTAACTTTGCCTATATGAAGTGAAATGCTGTTTTTGATAAGCAACTGGGAATTATTTTTTTTTCACTTTATTTATATTGCATTTTATTGCAACTTCTAGATTCTTATTCTATGATCATTAAGTCATGCCATGAGACCCATAACCCATTAGGTTTGTTGGGGGCACCACATGTACTGCAGCCAAAGCAGCAGTGGTGTGTCTAGGGCAAAATAACTCAACAGAGCTCATCCTTCTTCAGGCTGGTTTTGAATTCAGAGTTTTCTTTCCTTTCGACTGGCTGTCACCTCAAGGCGAGAAAGCCCAGTCAGTCTTGCAATTTAACCCAGAGCTGGTGGTAGGAGATTTATACTTTATATTTTTCCCAATGGTATTTGTTCAAAGTGAACATAATGAACTCAGCCCAAATTTGAACACAATTAATCAGTTTCTCTTTCCAAGTCACTAACCATTACACTACCTGCACATCTAATCATTAAATAAGAGTATTATTTGACAATACTTCATTTAAATAATTAGTGTACTATTACATCTCATACTACAAGTACACTAAAAAGGATAGCAGTGCATGTCAGTTGAAAAAGTAAATAATATAGCTATAAGGCTAAATTGGATGGTTTCTACTAGATTGACTTTGTCGCCTAATCAGTGAAACACTGTCCCAGAAAGATAGGCTCCTTTAAGAATAAGGGATGCAAGTTCATATCTCAATGGAGGCTTTGCTTCTGAGCTGCATTACTTAATGATTGTAGAATAATTATCCTATAGTTGCATTAAAAAAATAATGCAAGAAATAATGCAAAGAAATAATAATAATTGACAATGGTTCATCTAAGAAATTTCAATATTCTTACATCTAATACTACAAGTGTAAAAACAAATATAACACAGAGATTGCATTACTTCTTTATAAAGCAGACTTATGAACAGGTATTATGTACAGGAACCTAAATATTTTTCTTACCTTTTCAATTGTAGTTAAATCCATAGGATGATAAATGAAATCATGATAGTTGGGGACAGCACATAAATCTACAGGTTGACGGAAAGGGGAACTCTAGAATAAAAAGAGAATAACATTAGAAATGGTTCTAACTTAAACAAAAAGCATTTAAAATTGATTTATTTTAACACATTTAACAAATATTCTGATGATATTGCTCTTACATGAAATCAATTTTCCTTAAGAAATAATTTTCAACACTAACATGGCATTTGAAATAAAGACTTTTCATATTACAAAAACAATGTATTAAACCATTGATTATGTAACAATTACGTTAAATAAGATAACGTTTTTTTTTAAATTTGCAATCTTATTAAAATCATTCCATATATAGAATGTTTATGTAGACACATCAATAAGCCTAATAATGAAAAATGTTATACACAGTAAATATTTTGACATATTTTCCTTCCATGTCAATACACTTGATCCAATGCTTCTTTCAAATCATATATATCAATATCATACATTGTACAGAAAAATATTCAGATCAAAATTCAGCTAATAAATGTGTAAGGCTACAGACTCATTGATCCACCATTATACATATTGCTGATCAATTTGTTTTTTTAAAGGCTTATCAACCCTTTGTAGAGTGTTTAAGACCAAATCATATTTCAGATTGTAGGAGGTCACTTAGTGTCCAGTGTTCCCAAACAGTCCCTCATTTAAGTACTGACTGGGCTCAACACTGCTTAACTTTGCTGATCAATTGAGAACTAGTGTTTTTTTTTATACATATTGTGGTAAAAGTAAAAATCAATAAAACCTACATCTCAACTAATAATGGATTAATATTATTTTCTGAATGACCCAAAAGAGGAAACAGGGATAGGGAGGGTTCTTTATTCTAACAAAATATAGTCAAATTTGCATAAAATTTAAAATAATTTAGCTAAGACAACTTGCCAAATCTTTGTATTTGTAAATGATGAATTTCTAACAAGAGAAAGTGGGAACAGAGAGAAAGAAAAATTTTCTTACTGTCTGATGTTTCATTCTGGTTAGAGCATGTTTCAGAAGTGCACAAAACTGTTCTTGAGTTATCATTGACATTGATTTAGATCTTGTGTCCACACATTCAGCACGCATGATACGCTGGGAAGAAAAACAAAGATAAAAACATTATATTTGTAAACAATTTAAATACAGACACATGTACACACCATATATATTAAATGTGCATGCAGATATATTGAGAAATACATACTGATATGGTATGTATGTACATGAATGTATTTTTAACTTATATAAAATATTATTTTTTATATGTAAATTTAAAATAAAGGATAAATTAAAAATTTATTAATAATTGTTATTTCAGTATCTAACTTGATTGAATTTTTTTTAAGAAGTTTCAAACAGGCTTGATAATTTTAAGGAAAACTAATAAAAATATCTGAACATTGAAAATATGAAAATCACTATTAAAAAAACATTTTTTCCTGTATTTTTAAAGGTTCAATCTAACTGATTGAATATTATTTGTTCTCAACAAAAAACTTTCTTTCTTAAATGTTTCATTACAAAACCAGAGGTATTGAATAAATATTTGAAACCAGCATAGACATTTAGTCAATGATTCTTAAGAAAAAATAAATAGAGAGCAAATTTTGTGTTAAATTATTAAATGTTTCCTTTACTTGCAGCAGGGCAATAAAAAGAACATATGCGCACATGTATTTCTATATATAAGAAAAACAGATGTGTGTATTTATGTACACATATTTTTTTACACTTTTTTTTACATTTATATATAAGCATAAATGCATATATATATATATATATATATATATATATATATATATATATAGAGAGAGAGAGAGAGAGAGAGAGGTATGCACATGTGTGTGAATATTCTTTTGCATATGTGTGCACATTTATAGATTAATGCAAATGTTTCCAGCATATTTTTAATAAAATACTTTTTCATAAATATGCAAATATTTTTCATTTAAATGTATAGCATCATTATTCAGTCTTCAAGATACTTCCCTTCGATTTTTATTTGGACTAAAGCTACTTTTGAATTAAACTGTGTATTCTGTTTTAAAAGAACAATTCCAATTTCAATTTGATGAATTTTTTCAAGAAATTTTCAGTATTTTTAACCTGTTAAAACAAATGACTGGACAAGCAGTGTTGCTTGTAGCAAAAATCATCAATAATTGAAAAAGTTTTGATGGACAAGCTGCCTGTGAGAAAATCATATTCCAACTTCATGTTTATATACTTGTCATGTTTGTAACAAAAGGATGTGAATTGTCATGTAGCAAAGTCACCAACTGACTTTGTTGCTATGGAAATGGTCTTTTCTCTTCAAATAAACCTTGTGCACTAACAGTTTGTCAAGGTTCCAACAATTTCTAATAAAGAATTCCCTTTGAATCCTAAAAAACAATTTCCCCTACCACCTTAGATTTCATTTACATTATCATGTTGAACGTTATTCTGGATCTAGCCATGATTTTGTTCATTTTGGATTCTCCCAATGAATCCATTTATTAACCACCAGTGACCATTTGGCCTGAAAATGTCTTTTTCTAATGTTGAGCAAGAAGATAATAACAAGAGTTTAAATGCTCACTTCCATAAGTTCTTGTCAAATTTCTATAGTTGACTGATTGAACAAGCCAAGAAAATTTCTCAAACAATTTTAAGATTTCCCTAACATTCCCTAACATTGTTTAAAGGATAGTGTTAGGAATTTTTGCATCAGTCTAATGTTTTAATATTTCTTTACATGTGAGTATGTTTAAGGATGATTTTAGGAGATACTGATATGATTTTCAGCTGAAAAAGCACATAGTCATATACATAGGACTTTTTTCTTTAGGTAATCTAGATGCTCTATTATGAATATTGAATTTTAAGACATAGTCTCTTGGGTGATAAGTGAAATGTGGTAGAAAATTCTAGTTTGACTTCAAATTCAACATAACTTACCTCACATTCAGGACACACCCATTCTGATGGGGATTCTTCTAGGCCAAGACACTTTATATGATAAACCCGAGGACACAGTTCACAGAAAATCATCACACCATCACGGTGGCAGATCCAACAAAAATAGTCATTTTTATTATTCTGGAATGCAAAAATAATTCTTTTCAGTATAGATATTTGGAAATTTTGTAAATCACTAAAAAAGATGTATACTATTATTTACTCACAAAACCTTTAAATAAAAAAATGTAATGATTTTATAACTAAGAATAAATGCAAATCCAGAAAAAAAACATAATCCAATTAATTTTCATTGTTTGCACTTTTGATTAACCACAAAGTTTACTGCTTTGTTTAAAAATTGAATAGTAATACAAAGTCAGTTGGATACTGTAGATATAAAGAGTACAAAACTGTATAAAGTATAAAATGCTGTCCCAAAATTTAAATTCGATATTTTAAAGAACATATTAAAAAAAAAACACCAAAAAAATATTACTATACATTTTTTTATGAGCATTAAATACTTAAAACAAGCTCTCTCATGTCACAGGTGTAATAAAAATATCAAAGAAAACTGAGAATAGGGAGCAGAAAAATACAGAGAATTTAAAGAAAGACTGATAGTACGTTGACTGCACCAAACACCATTATGATTAATAACATGCTGAATTTAAAAGAGAACAATATTTTATTATACAACCCAATATAGAAAATTTTAATCATTAAAAATCATCTATTCAATTTGTTTATTTTCATTATAACAAATTTAGTAAGCATACTACAAAACTTATTTGAGATATATACAAACATAAGAATAAAAAAACTGAATGTGTAGATATGCTATGTTACATTAAATAGTATCCTTATTTCTTAGATTAAGCATTTTCATTATAAATGTTTGACTATTTTTCCTTTCATTTTATTTTTGTTGCTTAATTTTATTATATTTACAAGAATTAGATTAGACCAAAAATAAAGCATTGGTGCCATACCTGGGCTGGAACTGCCCAATCCACATTCTATAGACTTGATAGAGTTTAAAATTATTGACAAGGTCTTGTGGGGAATGACATATTTTCTACTCTGCAATATCTTTCCCAAAGATACAACATTGAAAACCATTGCTACTCTATCATTATTTCCATAGCAAATGTTCAGATGAACTCTATTCTTTAGCTCTCCTGATTCAGACCTTTACAACTAAGGCTCTCCATGCAACAGCCACAAAGTTGAATCACCCTAATTTCCTCTGAATTTCAATTGTAAACAGGAAGTTCCAATCAGACAGCCTTCACCCCAAAACAGATACTTTGTGGAACAAACTTCTGTATGGCTGCTTTCCTGAACACTACACCCTCTTCAAGTTAAGGATTGTCATCTCTCCTTCTTATACTCATAATCTACTCTTCCACTTATATTCATATCACACACTTCATTCAATAAAACTCTGCCTTAAATGGCTCTTGAGTCTTGTACTGAGTGAACTTTAATATTAAAAAAAAAATTGTGTTTTATAGTCTATAATGATTAAGTAAGCAGCATGAATCAGAAATAAAGACATATAATAAAATTTGAACCTGCATCTATTATCGTTGGGAATTTGTTTGAATTGGATTTGATCAGGGAGAATGATCAGTGAGAAAATTCATATTTAGTCCTATAGCCTTCCTTATATATTTTCACCACGTTATATTATTTGTTTGTTACTACTACTAGTAATAGTAGTAATGATGATGATTATGTAATAGTCTTAAGTTATCCAAAGTTTTTAGATGAAGTATTGTTATAATTTTTTCTTTCATCTTATTTTTATTACTACTAATGACATTAGTGTAAAATTGAAAACAATGACTACTACTGCTAATACTGCAAAGGTCTTCTATGAATTGAACCCTCTCAGTCTGCTTATTCGAAGAATAAGTATGTAAAAATCCACCTTCCTCTCTACCAGGTACTGATAAGTCAGGGGTAAAATCTCTGACTGATGCCAAATCAGTTGGGTTTCAATGCTAGCTTCAGGTAATCGGATGTCTAGCCACACTGATGTGCTGTGATAAAGTGAAACAGTCTGTCTGTGGATGATAATATATATCTTCAGGCATGATGAAAATGAATAGAGTACAATTCCAACGTTCGTAACATTTAATTTAAAAGTGGGCTCAATACAGAGTTGAGCAATATTATTTATATATTAATATTATTATTTATTTATTAATATTATTATTTTAACATATATAATAACTGAGTCAACTGTAATTTAAAAAAAAAATATCTATTAAACTGACAACAATATATACTTAAATAGTATAAAAGAAAATGTATGCAGACTTACTACTCCTGTTCCATCATTTCGGCCAATTTTCTGTTTTTTTGGTGGGATCTGCACAATATATAAGTCATCTATTTTCCCTCTTGTTCTTTTAAAGGATTGTGGTGTGCCTAGAATAGAAAATTTAATATATACAAAAATGTGATTAATAATACCACAAACAAAATCACAGAAAAGATATTTTAACTGTATGCATGAAAAAAATTTCAAAGAACCTATTTATAAGTAATCAATATTTGATTAACAATTTTGCTTCAGTCCCATTATGTATCTTCAAATTTACATAATCTTCAAATCTACATAATGGAAAGATGCACTGAGTATGTCATCTGTGATGTTAATACTGGATTCATATTTATTGGTCAGTATTTAAACATATAATGTATTTTGTATTGCTCTCTCATCATATTTACTAATCACAGACCAGAATGAAAATGAAATTCCATGGTTTGCATATTATGGGTGCAATAATCATGTTATCAAAATATGATTATTTCATCCATAACATACAAAACAGAATTTCATTTTCATTCTGGTCTATGATTGGTAAATATGATAACAAAGCAATGCAAAACATGCTTATTTTTTTCAATATTTCCAATATTTAAACTGATACATCTGTTGGTAAAAATGTCATTAAAAGCTTTCAAAAATACATTTCGTGTAATGTACCCACATTATCTACCATAAGTTTTGCATTGTGTGTAGTAATCTAATAAGCACTACTAAAGTGAGTCATTTTGCATACTGAAAATTTACAATCTAGGGATCAATTTCTTACATAAAATTTAAGTTTTATGAATAAAAAATTTGGCATTAATTTTGTTTTAAGTGAAAATGTTCATAGAAACAGTAAACATTTCAAATTATCTAATATAAAATCTTTGGGATAAGATTTATTCAACATTATATAATCAAATATAATCATTAATCATTCACTGATAAGTAAATCTTTATTCAATTCAAAATAACTGTGGGAGGATTGTACTTTTAGGAACTTGATATATGAATCTATATGAAACTCTGGATTCAGGATGCTGAAGGTAAGATCAATCAGCTAAGTAACAAATTATATTCACATTAATCCTATATATATATATGTGTGTGTGTGTGGAAAAGTCTGTTTGTTGCCTGTAGACATCAAATTATCAAGTGTTATGATCTTAATAGTTCCATAGTGAAGACCATTGCTAATGACACATCTAACAATTGAGAATTAGCTGTTTTTGCCATGTCAGCCAAGAGTTTATAATTTACAAATTAAATATGACAATCTAAATAAAGATTAAATAGAATTCAGTGGACATCTTTGGCATGATTACTGACAATTGACAGTTCTTTACTATGGCTGACAAGAATTTACTTGTTAAAAATTCAACATGACTTTATAATATCTATAAAGATCAAAGAGGTTAGTTAACTTTGAACTAAATGAAACTGACTATTGACAGTCAACAAATGACAACCAACTATTTGTTATTTGTGACCGCTAAGAATGTAAAACTTCAAAATTAAATTTAGCTAGGTAATATCCATCAAAATCAAAACAAATACAGTCAACAACTTCGATGAAGATTACTAATAAATGAAAACTGACAGCTTGTGTGGGTTCACAAGGGACTTTTGACAATGTCTGTTTTTACCTTTACCACTAGGAGTTCATACTTTAAAGATTACAAGCCATCAATTCCATATGATATACCTAATTTATCTAACATAAATTTTGTATATATTATGTGTTCATCTCATAAGTACTTCTAATGTGAGTCCTTTAATCAAAAGGTTGCCAGAATTTTGATAACAGACTCTTGATAAATGAGGCCTATCACTTTTTAAATAAGACCTTAAGTTATATTTCATATGCAATTTGTGATATCAAAAAGAAATGTTCTTATTTTGCAATTATTTGTACTTTAAATTTTTAAGATAAATGTCTAATTGTGTTTTATCTCTTTAATATTTGATAATTACAATATTTTCTTGAATATAACCCCAGAATATACAAGTAAAAACAGTATCAGAATTCTTTTTTTGATGTGATTTATATATGTAGGGTTTATATTGTACACCCAAGTCAGTAAGATTATTTCTTTGTAAGAATGTTTCTTCATGATGTCAAAAAGCCTAAATAGTTTGGAGATCTTAGAACAGTTGATGCCTTTACACATAGAAAAAGCAGTAATGTTTAACCTTCATGCTCCACAAAAGGACAGTTATTCCCTTAACATTGCTATTACTGTATACACATTTGACATCCATAGCAATTTTATTGTTATAGTTTATTGTTTTAAAAAGCTATGATTTGAATTTTAATAAAATAAAATCAAACATATGAAAGTGGATTTATACATTTTCTTTATTCTTGAGAATTTACAACAAAGATATTAAACAATGTTTATTAGATTGAATAAAAATATTGTTTTCATAGTTATTTGAAAAATGGTAAATAATAAATATTGTATTGTTGTTGGTTTACATATTTTGATAATTTTGTAATTTTTTAATAAATTTTTGAATAAAAAGATTTCTTTTCAAATTTATTTCTTTATAAAATGGTAAATAATAAATCTTTATAAAAAGTAAATAAATATCGCATTCTACTTGGTTCACATATTTTTATAATCTTCTAAATAAACATTGTTGAGGGAATCAAAAGTGTATACAGTAATAGCAGTATCAAGTGAAAAACGGTCCCTTTGACACATTATTTTTTGGCAGGCTTGAAGGTTAAAAATCATCAAAAAAGCAATAGAGGCTTTAATTAAAGCCCTACAAGATTTAAGAAACTGTAAAACAATAATGAGAAGTATAGATATTGTATTATGTGGGGATTTTCAGCAAATCCTGCTGTTTATATCCAAAAGAACAAAATCAAATGAAATCCAAGCCTGTCTAAAATATTCATTTTAGTTGTAACATATGAGGACATTAAAACTTAAAACATACAAGAAACACTATATGGTAATATTAATTCAGATAGGTTTTCCAATAACTTGTTACTACTTAGTCAAGGTTCCTATAGATTCTGAAAACAAAGTTACCATATCAGCCATAATTACAATAGTTTCCAATATTAATGAACTGCTAGAGAAATATTTCTTAACTTTATTTACCACTACAAAAATTATTTTTAGAGAAAGCAATATTGGTGCCTAAAAAGATAGCAGTGTATACTTAAAAAAATACAATTTGTAAAATACCAAGGAATCTGTTTACAAATCCATTGATGCCATCATCAATCAAAATGTTGTTCATTATCCTGTCAAGTTTTTAAATTCCTTATAACCACAAAAACTGTCCCCTTACAACCTAGAACTCCTATCATTCTTTCAAGAAATTTGGATCAACCTAAGCTCTGTAATTGAACACTTATAATAGCTTTACATCCTTATGTTATAGAAGCTCAAATTCAAACTTGCTGAGGAAAAGGTGTAAGTACTTTTATTGAACTGCTTTTGACATCAGAAATCCCCTTTTAGTTTAAAAACTACAATTTCCTCTATTGTTATGTTTTACAATGTCAACAAAGAATAGAGTGAGATGTTGAAAGTTGTTGGCTTATAATCACAAGAAGAGAGTTTCTTACATGGCCAGCTTTATGCTGTCTACCCACATGTTGGATCATCAAATAATTTGTATATCTGTGCTTCATCTGGAAAATGCCGTAATGTTGTGGACAAAGAGGTTTTGTAAATTTAAAACTGAATCAGGACTTTCTCTTAGTGCATGTATACATATTTCAAGGAAAACAAAAACTTGCATATTGTACATTAATTTCTTTTTAATTTCAATTACACAGGTAGTTTCTAAATGTTCATAAGCTAAATGGAAAAATGTATGGTATTATATACCAAGTACATTTAATCACTTTATGTTTAAAGAACTTATTTTTTTTTAAGCATATTTACCAGAAGGAAAATATACGATATTGAACAGAAAGAGGTTTTCTGGATTTTAACTTTAAATAGAGTTTCACGTGTGCATCTTTTGGAAGAAAAATGGATACATGTATTTTATAAAAAAAGTTTTGAGTTTCACTTAGAAAAGCTGTATGTTTGTATTGTAATTAAAACATTTAGTAAGGAATAGAAAGATTTCTCTTTTGTATCTCAGATTTGAATATGTTTTTCCATATAAAGAAAATAAATTGAATATTTGTTTGCAAAAAAATAAATAAATAAACTTTCATTTTTAAGTTAACAATGTTTCATTTCAATGATAAATTCACTGGACTGAAACAAAATGCATGGATTGCATAGAAATGTGTCAAATGAATTATAAATTATGAAAGGATCAAACATTTTTCATACTTTTGTAATAATTTATAAACAAAATAAAAAATGGTGGATTTTAATCACATATAAGTCATTTAAGTTATAATTTTCATAAATACACTTGAAGTAACTGAGGCAAATAATTAATTTATGTCAGAATAATGATTTCTTTATTTAAGTATATAAGTAGTAAAAAATGTGTAAAAAATGTTCATGAATTTTAAATATACTTTTGTTTCATTCCAAGTTTCATTAATTATATTTTGTACAATTTTTTTCTACCTATGAAATCAATATGATGACACATGCAATGCTGGGTGAGTCAGCTAGTTAACAATAAAAGAGTGACATAAGAATTCTGAAAGTGTTCAACATTAAATAGATAGAAGAGGAGCATGCTCTTACCTGATCTTGAAGAACAGGTATCACTGGATGGACTTGGGCAGCCCTCAGACTTTATATCAGTCTTACTGATTGATCCTGATATGACACCAGTGGATGCCCGGGTTCGGATACTGCAGTTACTGGACATGACAGGTGTGCTGGAATTGCTACCAGATGTTTTGGCACTACCTTCATTTCCAGAATCAGTACCTGTAGACAAACAAAAATATAAAAAAAAACATTTTCTTACTCTTTTTTTTTTTTTTAAATTTTTAGTTTTGTATCATTTGAGATAATATTTTTGTAATATTGTCCTTGTAAGGCCATATAAGACAAATATCTAAGTATGAAGAAAATTTTTAAATGAAGAACTTTAAAAATAGTCTCAAGTGATTTAACAGTATCTAAATTATGATTCAAATTTTTATCTAGTTTTACAGTGATAGCTTGGAACATCATTAACCTAAAGAGAGATCTATTTTTCTCACTTATATGCAAATTATTCAAAGCTAAAAAGAAATGAAATACATTTAATATAGAAAATAAGGTCTTATACTGAACTTATTCTGTGTCTTGGCTTTGCAGCAATTTATAATAGACTTTTAAAATGAACTTTTTTATGCTACCTTTTCTCTTAAAATATTTATTAATTTTTAAATGTATTATCATACCACATTTCAGTTAAAATCTTTTCCCTTGTCTTCCTCTTTAAAAAAATTAAAAAAAGATATGAAAAAGCACTCATATATTATATATATGGATATATATAGATATTGACAATGTGGATATAGAATCAACACTGCATGGCGACTATCAGTTTTATGCCTCAATCTTCATCATATATATAATCTACCTTTCTAACACATATGCATAACCTAGTCACAAGGAGATCTTTAAATTTTTTCAGATGGACCAAGAAGTCGTTCCCCAAACTATCTGATTTTTGGTCGGATTTAGGGAAGTGGGTTAGGCCAAGAAATTTTCAACACACACACGAGATTGATGGATATATGATTTATAATTTATATATATACAGGTAGAATGAGATAGTATCAGAAATTAAATCTGTAGCTTCACACCAACCACAAAAATGAGTAAACTTCTTTTTATACATATAATTTTTTAAGTCATTTACAAGTTAATGCAAATATACATGCAAACTAGAGAACACACTAACAATTAGAACTTGAATATTTTTTGTTTGTGATATATGTTAGTGACATTTACATACCTTGAAGTAAACTTATTTCAAATTCTTTAGATAAACTAAAATAGCTATCTTTTGTTTGTCAATAAAATATTCTTTAAGAAATACCACTATTTTACTATTTATTGCAAATCAAATTAGCACAAATTTCAACACAGCTGTAGTAAAAAAACAACAGCTTTTTATAACCACTATTATAACAATAAAACAATCAAAATAAATGAGTTTGTCATATTGGATATCATTTCTGTTCATGAAACTATTTACAAGTTATAACATCTAGAAAATTTATAAAAGCTTGAGGGGCCCTAGGCTGCAGTCTATACTAGCCTAAAGGATAATCCGGCTCTGCTGACAATGAATTAATACTTAATAGATTAGTGCATTTAACTTCATATTAGATTGAAAATAATGATTTCCTACTCACAATGAGCTTAAATAGTGTTACAACTTAGTATAGAACACATAAACTAAATAAATTGTATATAAATTATATTTTCAACCTTTGTATGTATAAATAATGGTGTTACTTTCATTTCAGATGTATAGAAAATTTATGTTACTAAGGAAGTTGTTTTTAAGTATTCTTATACAATATACTTCAATTAAAAATAAATATTTTGATAGTAAATATTGAAATCTACAAATCTACAATATATACAAGAAAACTCATTTTATAGTTTCTTTTTTCCTTTAATGCATAATGTTTTAATGAAATTAACTTTATAATAAATTATCTAAGAAGCAGTATATATTTTAACATAAAAACTAGTAAAATGTCTTAAAGATTCATTGTTTTTGTAAATATAAGGGAAATTATAATAAATTTATTTTATACATTCTAAATAAAAACTAGTCATATTCTCTAAGAAAACAATTCTAAAGTAATGTATTAGATTTTATGCTCACATTGTCCAAAACTATCAATGCTATCTTCTACCAAATTTTACATGTATAAATGTGGTATACAGTAGTTTTAAAATAATACTGATACAGTTCAATGTTTAGCTGATAATCAACAATTAGCAATACTTAAATAGACTCTTCCACTCATAAAAAAAATAGTGAACGTTTTTGGAGGAAATAATTTTTGTAGCTTTTTGTAGACCTTCCTTAAGCCATGACACTTGGCAGAATAAAAAAAAATATTGATTTTTTTTACCATTTTAGAGAAGAGTTTTGTTCATGATATCAATGTAGTGTAAAATTGATCCCCGAGTTTTACAGAGTTATTGGACTTAGGTTAAGTCACTTTGCTGTTAATTATAAATGTAAAGTTTAAAATTGTGCTAAAATCATTGATATCTACATATTTTTTTAACTTTTAAAACTTTTTTTCAAACTTATTTGTATGTTTTTTTTTTTCAGAAACACATGCACAAATATTTGTGCTTCGTGATTATTTTTCTTCAATGAAGAATAAATGGATACATAATTTGATAAATTTATGTAAATTTTCATCTTTAATTAAAAATGAACATATCCTTTTGTTCTTTATTTAAAAGAAATCTTTTTGCAACCCCCCACAATAAAGTCTATTTTCATATGCAAAAGAGCTAAGTTCAATAACTCTGTAAAAGTCAGAAATCAATTTGACATTGCATGTATATTATAAACAGGAACACTCTTCTAAATAACAAAAAAAAGAAAAATTAAGTTGATATTTTTTATCCTAACAAGTATTATAGCCTAAGGAAGGTCTACCAAATGCTAATCTTCAAAATTATTTTTTCCAAAATTTTTCACTATTTTTTTTACAGGTGGACAAATCTATTTAAGTAGTGCCCAACAATCATTATCTTTTTGGAGTATCAAGTGGAAAGAATCTGACCCAAAATTTGTCTTATGCCTGAAAACACTCAATACTCACAAATAAGTGACACTGTCACATCAGAATATTATTAATGTGAAATATTGCATTTATACTGTCAAATAAATTCTTCAAAATCATTACTTCAAGTAAAATATATCCTGTCATATTATATCCTTGTCAGAGAAAACATTTTTTAAAATATTCTTTTATTAATATCAATATGCTGTCATCCTGCCACAAAATATTATCTGGCTTTCACAAAACATTTGACAAACAGGACACATTTTTTTAATCTATTACAAATTATTATATTTGTTGTTACTTTTCTTTTGTATATTTAACAAAAAGCAGAAGACCTGGCTTCTTTACATTATGAAATGACATAAAGGAGTGGATACTGGAAAATATTCACTTGTTTCAATTCTGTTAGATATATTTTAAAGGGCAGTTACAATTAGCATTTATTAATTAAAGATGGTCAATCACGCCTGCAGTAATAACAAATTCAATATTTTTTTGTTAAAGATTTCTTTGTTGCTTTTACAAGTTTTGGCAACATTCAAACTCCAATATTTTTTATATTAATTTATATATATCTATAATCTTTGGTAAGACAATGATCCATTTCAATTTTTAAAAATTTCTTTCAATAACCCTCAGTGGTCAAGTAATCTATGATATATTTGCTTTGAAATATAATGTATAGTGGCAATTTAGTCTCATTTCCATAAGCTACAAGCATTATTTATAAAAATGAAATTTTTATCCCATGGTTTTGATCATGATTGTCTTTTTTTTCTTGTCCAATAGCCTAAATGTTTGAAAGTTAAATGTTAATGGAATTTCATAACAAGTATTTTTTTATATAAATAACCATTTCTTTTTCTTTAATATATTAAAAAATCATTTGAAATTCATATTCTTTGGACAGCCACTGAATTATTGCTATTCAACTACAGATTATGTCATTTACTTTCATAAGCAATGTAAATGATGTTTAGATATAAAGCCTTCAAATAGGTAATAACTTCAATTTTCATTTATTGACATTCTGCAGGGAACTTTTTTTTCTGTTTTTTGACATTTTCCTTTTCTTACATTCCAGTTTATTTACATTTGATATCTTACTCTAGTCTCCGTTTTTTGCAGCCAAAGCCTGATATTTACTTCGAATTTCCTGGCAGCATGTGTAACAGGCCTGAACTGAGTTTCTCTTATAACAATGACAACCTATTTACTTCAATAGCTATACAGCCATCTAAATATCCCTGCTGAATATTTTGGTTTGTGCAACCAAATGTTATATGTGCTACTCACCCACTGTTGATGTAAACAAATCTATATATTTGCTATAAAACAAACCAATGTTTTAAGGGAAATCCTCAACGTGGCCTTTTCTCAGTATTTATTCCTTATAATATTTAATTACATTTTGTAATTGAGATCCATTGCACATTAAATATAAAATTCATGAAGAAAAATAAAGTAAAGTCAAAGGAAAATTATTGGTTTTTATTAAAACTGAAATTGAATTATATTTTAGAAATTAAGGTACTCCTCTTCAAGAAAATATACTTAATTATACATAGTAAGAACTAATATTTAAATTAGTTTTCATTTCACACAAACCTTTTGTATACTCATAATATCATTGAAAGTTTTGACTGTTTTTCTTTTAAAAATGTAGATAAGTCAATAAGTTAATAACCTAATAATGAAACAGTATTTTACCCAACAAATATTTATTTTTAATATAATCTGCTCATTTGCCAATACACTTAATTTAGTGGTGAATATTAATCACATAACTGAACATTATACAAAATTTTTAATTATTAATGCTACCTTGAACATATAATAATAAACTAGTGCCTAAACTTATTTTCATTTCATATGAACTGTCTACTCATTTTTCATTTGAGCCTTTTGTCTACTCTTTTTTCATTTGAGCCTTTTGTCTACTCATTTTTCATTTGAGCCTTTTGTCTACTCATTTTTCATTTGAGCCTTTTGTCTACTCATTTTTCATTTGAGCCTTTTGTCTACTTATTTTTCATTTCATATGAACATTTTGTCTATTCATAATACTAACAACAGTTAACCTTCTGACTGTTTTTCTTTTAAAGTGAAATTTAAACTAGATATTAGACACTGAGCAAAAATTAATCTGGAATAATATTGAAAGGAATTTTGTTTTGGGAAACACTGGATCTCTATGTTAAAAGAAATTCAAATAAATTCAGTAAGTGATAAAAAAATCTGGAATTATATAATATATAATTATAAATATATTTAGAGGTTTTCAAGCCATCTGCATTTGTTTTGTTTTCACAAAAACAATTTTATTTAAACAATTATAATTCTCATGTTTCAAAATTGCATGGAATGAAATTGGAGGATGCCCTCACAGGAAATGTAAACTTTTCTAAATTCATTTGTAAAAATTTCAGTAATTTAGAAACAGTATAAGAGGATGCCAATTTGTAAATTATCAGAAAATATAGCCAAGTGCACATTGCAAATTTACAATTACAAACAGTGTATAAGTAATAAACACAAATAGGAAAAACTCTTAACAAAAATCTAACATAAATTAAATTTCAGCAATACTGTAGTAGTTATATCTAAAATTTAAAAAAAGATAAAATTTTGTAGGAAAAAATATGTGTAAAGTACACCAATAAATCTATAGCCTAATGAGAAAAATAATTTATTTTACACAAACAATATTTATTTTTTGACATAATCACTTTGTTTGTCAAGGTACTTAATCCAAAATCTCTCCATAGATCACATAGGTCAAACATTATATAGTGAAATTTTCAAATAAAAATTCAACTAATAACTGTTAGGCTGCAGACTTTTTGATCTACATTTATACATTCTCCAAATATTTGAAAAATAAAATTAAAAAAGTATAAAATAATAATAAAATAAGGCATTGTTAATATTACAAAAGATTAAGTAAATCTGAAATGATTCTATTTTTTTCAAAATATGTTGTGATAGAGAAAAAACAGGTTTTCCAAGTATGAATAAGTGAAGTATTTATAAAATGAATAACTAAAAAATAAAATAAAATATTGTCAATTGAAATAGAAAAACAAAAAGAAACCCTTACAGATTTTTAAATATAAAAATGTAAACCTTTTGTAATGTACTCTCAACCAATGGTTAAAACATTTCACAGATGAAAACAATATAAAATGATAACTTTAATGAGAAGGCCAAAGATATCTGACCACTTTTTCATTTTATACAAAAAATAAAGTCATTTGTGAAATAAAGCATAGAAATTTCTTACAACATGGAAGAAAAAAACAATCATCTGAATAGGATAAACTTAAATTTTTAAGAGTCTAACTATACAGGATTTCTGAAAGTAACATCTAATTTAAAAAAAAAAATCTTTACATAAATCTATATTACATAAATGAATATCAGATTTCATAATTCATTTATTCAAATATGAAAGATTCTATAAAATATAATGGGTAATGAGTTTTATTTTTAATCAGATAAAAGTAACATGCAAATTTATTTAAAAAGAGGAATACTATTATTTTCTAGTAACTATAATCTTACTTACAGTTTTAGCATTATACTCCCAAAATTTGCATTGGTCATCTACAGATATAATACAAGGTGAACAGTTCACCAGATTTGTTAAAATCCAGTTTAAAACCAAAATTTATTGCTTGTTCCAAAATATGTATCAGTAATTTATATGAAGGCAAGATTTTAGATAACATGATTACATTTTATCTTTTTAAACTCAAACTTGTTACTCTTGATAACTCACTGGTCATAATACTAACCTTGAAACATCAAAAGATCCTTTTGAACTAAAGTGCCTAATTATAGGAAAAATATCCCATTTTTAATTATTGAAGTTCATAATTGCTTGAAAAATGCTAAATAATAAGTGCTAGGTTTTGTGAATACACAAGAGATATATGATAATCAAAGTTATCTTATTTATCATGTAAGAGGACGTGTATACTGTGTAATAGATATCAGAGCAGAAAGTGGAACTGGCAAACCAAGTTCAAATTTCAGGCTAGTCTGTTCACTTTCAACTTTGGGAAAAGCATAAATCCAGTTCTTCTCCCTCCATCTATGGATTAAATAACAGAATAGACTGAATTCATTAGCATTAAGTTGCAACTAATATAAAAGAAGAAAAACCCTAAATTCCATAATGTGTAGAATACAACAGGAAACTAAACTACTATCTTTTCCAATTCACAGATAGTAAGGAATCTGTGGAGAATCATGCTTGCCTATATCCTAAAGAGATATGACATTAAAAAAAATAATTAAAAAAAGGGCATGGATGTGAAGTTAGTATAATGATTATTGTTGTGGAAAGTGGAATTGGTGAGCCAAGTTCAAGTTCCAACCTAGTCTGTTGCATTCACTTCATACTAATGATCTTTGGAAAGGCATGAATCAACCCAATCTTTCCTCTTCTATAGGTTAAATAGTAAAGTAGACTGGCTTCTCTCAACATAGGTGGCAGCCAGTATAAGAGAAGAGAAAGTCCAAATTTCCAACTGTAGAGAAGGCAACAGAAAGTCCATCACTATCTTCCCCATGAAGTCATGCCAATTCACAGATAATAAGGAAAAAGAATCTGTAGAAAGCCATGATTGGCCATGTCTGAAAGGGATAATGGTTTTGAGGGGAAAAATAAAGGAAAGAAAAAAGATCAGCATGCAAAGTTCATAAAATAAATGGTCTATAATTTTGACAAACATCCTCAAAATTTAAAATTATATTCACACAATTCTTTCTCTGTATTCTTCTTATTACTGCTATCACAATATTTCAGTCAATGCAACTGTAGTGGAGGAAAACAGGCATCTTATTAAAATAAGGTTTGAAGAACAGAAGAAAGCCATAGCCAAAGAGGAAGTAGTAATATCTAGTATGGCAGACCTTGAGAGAGAAGAGGTACATATTACCTTCTCTGGGATTAAGTCCAGATAATTGATATGGAAAGTGACTGTGAGAAAATTGAAAGAGAGGTATATACCGGTTTATTGGGCCAGGAGGATAAGTGAGGCTAGTATAAATTTCAGCACAGTATGATTTTCTTGGCAAAGAAAATATAAGAGAACTCCCTCATGTATGTATTGAAATCTCCTAGGTACATGGATGGGATAGTGATATGACTGTTTGTACATGTACATTTACTGAAATGGGCTGGTATAGTTGGTATATTAACAACCATTTTTTTGTTGTTATTTTGTGAAGAAATAAGTTTTTCTCTTCTTTTACTTAGAAATTATGCACATAATAAAGGCCGAAAAATCAATCTGCCAAAATATTATTATAGTAACATCAAGATTACAAGGATCTGAATTGAACAAAATGTGAAATTCATAAAAGCAGTATTTATAAAGTTTTAAAATTTCAAAAATTATATTATTTTTTTAAGTGGTGAAAAAGAGGTTTAGTATATTTGCTTGCATGTTTGTTTGGCTTTTAAACAGCACAGAAAAAAAACTAAATAAATAAAAACTGCTGGTATATTTATATATATGTTGCTAAATATTTTGTTGGAAACAAGCTGTTTTTAACTTGAGATAAAATAAATACTGACATTTTTCATGTAATAAATTAAAAAGAATTATGAAAAAAACACATTACTTCCTATATGTTCCCAAGGCAACCAAACAGTGTTTATGAAGACTTGTACAAGATTTAATTCATTTCAAAGAGAAAATGAATGAAAAAAACAAAAAACTTTAATTTTATTTCAAAAACATGGGTAAAATTACAAAGAAAAATTATTTTTCATTGATGTTCTCAAATAGTCTTAAATAGATCCTCTCTGTTTCTTTACAATAATTGTCTGTTTATCTAGTTCAAATTTTATTATATATACAGGGGCTGCAAAAGTAGGTATACAGTGAGTATTATAAGTATTTCAGTTGATATATGTTTATATAATCAATACAGGTTTTGTTTTTTTTGTTTTTTTACTATACATCTACTTTTGTATCCCTCATATGTATATATATATATATATATATATATATATAGGATACTGATATAAGGGAAAGAAGTACAACAAAGTGGAAAAAGTTTTCATGTGACGTGTTTCATCCTTCATAGGACTAATTTTATGTTTACATTGATGCAACTACACATGCACATGAACAAGACACATTGGAAATTTTTAATTTAAAAATATCTTAATATGTGTTTTGGGTATATAACCTATCCAATTTCATTTAGATTCTTTTTGCTTATGTTTACATCATTTCTGTTATTAAATATCCCACATTGTGATAATTGAAGATTTGAAAAGAATGGTGAAATGCTGTAAGAACCTGGATGCAAATTTACTGTCGAGGATCTAGTGATTAAAGCACTTTCCAAACGTTTTTATTGTTTTCTCTTTTAATTTTTCTAAATTAAAATTGTGGTCAGTCTTATTACAGTGAATAACTAATGCATTTAATGTGTTGTTTTGTAAAAGATTCATTTTAAGTGCTTTAATAGCTTTAATCACTAAATCATCCACAGTAAAATTGTATTCAGATTCTTATGTTTCACCATTCTTTGCAGATCACAATGTGGGATATTTAATAACAACAATGATAGAAACATAAACAAAAAAAATTATTTTGAAATTTAAAATTCCCAGTGACTCTCGTTCGAGCGCATGTTGTCACAATGTAAACCTAAATTTAGCCCAGTGAACACCGAAAGGATGAAATGTGTTACATGAAAACTTTTTATATATGTATGTAATAGTGTGTGTGTGTGTGCATCAAGATTAACAACAAAAGTTAAAGTATGAAAGGTATAATAATTTTGCTAAAATTGGTTAACTTTTTAAATGAATTATTAAAAAAAATTAAAGACACTGAATTACTTTTCAGAAATCCTGAAGAATTTATTATTTAACAGACATTTTATTTACAAAGTTCATTTAATTGTTATAGAGGTCAACAAATACACAAGTCTATATTGCACTAGAGTAATAGTCAAGAAATAAATTGAAAGAGTTATGATAAATAGCAGACAATTCAAATAGTGTAACTTCAAATTCTTTTCCTAAAATGATTGTAAAATGTTCAAAAGGATAAATACCTCTTTGAAATTAATAAGGAAACTTGCTAAAAATCAAAATTAAAAAAAAAAAAAAACTCACCAGAAATTTTGTCACTAGAATATTGGTCAGAACTGTCCGATTTGGATCTGATAATGTGTGTGGCTTTCACTAACAGTTCTAATCCATTATGCGTGTTACTAGAAGCACTTTCTATAAGGAAATGAAATTTAATTAACATTTTATGGAAACCAAGACTTTTTCATTTTTATTTGTGCCGTTCACTGTTGTAAGAGTTCTACCTCTTAATCCAGAGAACGTAATGTGCAAAATATTAAAAGTAATATTTTTTTTAAATTGAAAAATATTAAATTTATCCACTTATATGGGTTTTGTTCTTATCCTCCTTTATTAATATTCAAATGTTACCATATTGCAAAAAAGTACTTATATATTTATGCTTACATATATTTTATTATACTTTGTATGCTTTATATTATATATATATATATATATATATATATATATATACACACACATATTAAATGGATTTTTAATCTGACATTTTTTTATTATAAATGTTATTTTTAGTGGGTACTTATGTTTGAGTTGCTATCCCTGTTTATTTTTATTTTCTTAAACAATGAAGTTAATAACAATGATCCTAGATTGAAAATTCCTACTATAGAAAAACTGTACCTCCTGGTAGGAATTGAACTGGTATTGCTTTTTCCATCAGGGAAACTGCTTGTATATCCAAAAAATCCTGTGGCCAAATTGATAGTGACACATTTTGGCTATATGAGTGGATTTCCCTGGTGGAAAAACAACTTCTAAATCTAAGCCATTTGTTATTTAATTTCACAGTTTAAGAAAATAAAAAAATATGGATAGTGACAAACATATGTACCCACTAAAATAATGTTTATATTAATAAGAAATATATATACATAATATAAATTTCTTAAAAACAAGTGTCAGATTGGTATAAAAGAAAATTAATAGTAAAAATTAAATGTGAATATGTAATAGAGGAAAAAATGTATCTGTTTCCAGCAATTTTTGCAACAATCACATACAGAATCCTAGCTACTGCTTTGAAGGCAGTCAACATGTCATTATTGGCCATGCAGAACCAAATATGGAACATAAACATAACAAAATATTTATTTATTTATTTATTACTTAAAATTGTTAGATAAATTGTGAAAAATGTATTCACTTATATTCTTATACTGACTACCCATCTCCTATATTTTTTTTGTGTTTTATACTACCAGCAGGTAACATTTTTATATAGGTCATATCTGAAATTAGACAAAAATATATGGATATAAATAAAGATGAGAAATAATTATTAAGCTTAGCTTAGTTTTAGCACAAGTCTACATGTATGTGACACATTGTGTATCAAACTCAATGCATAGTAATAATGGTCTGATGGACTAACTGTGTGAGGTGCACACAAAGATAAAGATGTATGAATAGAGGTATTTTTTCAAAGAATATTGGCACTTATGGTCCTCTATATCTTTCAGGTATAACTGAATTTTCATAATAATCCTGGACATTATTATAGAATAGATTAAATATTGCTTACTGTTATGTTTTAAATCAATCTTCCTTCTCATAGGTGTAGCAACAAGTTTCACCTACTTGGCACTACAAACAGAACTTTAGCCCCAATAATCTACAGACTAATATATTGGCATTAAAAAAGGCATTAAAAATGATGGCAATAATTATGTAAATGTTAATGCAGTCACAATTCATCATATAATAATAGAATTAAAATGACATTTAATGGACAGCAAGTGCATCCAAATTTTAAAGAAAGATGTTTGTTTATAAAAACTATAAAATCTTTAACAGTAATTTCTGTACTTTAGTTTTAACTCTTGACCAAAATCAATAATTGGGTGTTATTTGAGAAAAATATTCATAAAAATCCAATATGATCCAATAAGTAAATGAAGGGTTCATATTCTGGACTAATCTATTGTGCTCACTTTCACATTGATGTTTTTGGGAGAGGCGTGAATCTTCCCCCATCTACTGATTAAATAGGAGGGTAGAATAGGCTGGCTACATTTGGGTGACAACCAATGTTAGAGAAAGAAAACTCTGAATTCTGAATGCATAGTAATTCACAGATAATAAAGAAAAGGAAGCTGTGAGTCATGATTGCTTTAGTCCTGAAGGGACATGTCATTAAAAAAATGAAGTGCATAAATCTTTCAAATACAATAGATTATTATTATTATTAAATATTAATCAAAAGCAAGAAAAATCTTAGGCTTTATGACGAATTAATATCTATACTATTAAATCTAAACTGAAGTAAAAAAAAAAAAAAAAAAAAAAAAACTAATATACAGACAACAGTTAAAGATGAATAAAAACTTATCTGATGTTAGCTTAAGATGTCAGAAGAGAAAACCAAAGATGATAATGTCATAGAAATAAATTAATTAGCATCTAATAACTTTATTTAAAAGATAAAAATTTAATAATGAACTAGTAATGTTAGAGTTATAGATTTAAATGTGTGGACTGCATAAGGTTTATCAGCACTGAAAACGGAATTGGCATGCCAATTTCAAATACTGACAGTATTTGTTTCATTCACTTTGCACTAATACCTTTGGAAAAGACATGAATCTATCTTTCTCCAGTTATGGGTTAAATAATAAGGCAGACAGGACTGTCTTGACTTAGGTGGCATCCAATCTATGAAAACATCCCCACCACACTATTAAGTGGGTATTTTTAGGTAAAGAGTAGGCTAAGGAGGAAACCCTCCACAGATCCAGAGTGGAGAGCCTAAGGGAGTTGGATGGCATACTCTGTCATCTTTGAGCAACTTTTTTTTTCTTTTTTAACTAATGTTCATCCAGTACAAGGCTCAAGAGCTACTCAAGATACAGGGTTACTATGTGGTGTTGTATGAGCATAAGAAATGGCAAGAAATGAAGTTCTTGGGGATATGCAGGAAAGATAATGGCTAACTCTAGACTTGAAGAGGTTTAATTAGTGAATAACATTTCAGACTCTGCAGCTATACATGTTCCATACTGTATAGGTTTACTCTTTCACTTGAATTCTATCAGCAATGCCAAGAGGGAGATCTGGATGTATGGGCAGACAAGAGCTGTAGCAGCACTCTGTGCTACACAATTGTCTCCTGAGAGACAAATGCTAATGATAGATTTAAATCATATTGAACTGAACATATAAGTATATATTATAGAAGTCAAAAATTTCAGTAATAATATTTCTATATATTTCAGTAAAAATGAATAAAACTAAAATAATATTCATATATAGTCATAACATTTATAATTCAGATCAGAGATCTGTGAAGTGTGTGTGTATGTGAGTGAGTGAGAGAGAGAGTGTGTGTGTATACATATACACATTGGGTGTTGAAAAGTTTTCAGGTTAACAAAGAAGCCCTTTCTCACAAAAATTTCTGATATTTTGCCAGACTTTGGTAAAGGTGTCAGGCCAAGAACTTTTCAGTACACCCTTGTATATTTCATTATTTTAATGGGGCATTTAAAGCCCAATAGAAACTACTTTATTTCATTTTTATTTATATGATCAAGGTAGATATTTGATAATGTAATCAAGAAGAATTCTGTTTCAGAATTTCAAATGATAGAAGGGATAATATCTTTCTGTGCATACAGTAATAATTTTAAGGTCTCGTCAATAACTGGTTAACTTGAATTGATTGATAAATAAGGTCTCTAATCCTATAAAACAAGTTCTGAACCAAATAGAATAATGAAACTAGTATCAAACTTAAGTAAATTTATTTCCAAAACTACAAGATTATTTTCAAACAAGTTACAATTTAGTGTTGTGGATTTTTTCAAATGTTTTGTCTACTTTTTCATTATGCATATAGAAAAAAAAATTATGGTTCACTTCTGATCTGACTGCACATAGCAACTTTGGCATGAAATAAATATTCAGATAAAAAAATATAGACCTTTCAACACCTTTTTCAATTCTGGAAACAACCAGAAATCTGTTATGGTATGAAATTGGAGCTGTACACAGGTTCTGTAATGACAAAGAATTTCAAGTTTCTCATTGTTTACACTGTTGACTGTAATGCAGCCTTCCATTGTTGTGATGGAAAAAAATCTCTTTTCTTGCCTTTTTCTGTGGATGCATTGTTTGAGTGTTTGTAAGGTTTCATTACTTTTCATACATCTGCAAATTTTAACATTCTATTTCTAAAAATTTTATCATTGATTGCTGCTTTATATGTAACTCAGACTAATACTCAAGACTAATGAATACTATTACTCAATGTAATCCTACAGTGAATTAAGGAGGTTGGAACAAGACTTTTTATGTTAGCAAATACATATTTAAACATGCTTCTCTCTCTACTATTAGACCCTATTTATCAATCAACCCTCATATTTTTATGGTTGATAATAATTTTAATAAAACTTTTTAGTAAAATGTTCAGTATCTATTATAATTACAGAATCTGGGGATGACAAGTTTTTATTGCTAAATGTCTAGATATCATCTACATTTTTAAGGAAAAAAATTGAATAAAGAAAACAGGAATTGAAAAAAAATTATTTCCTCCTTGCTGCTGACTCTATACTGTCTGAGTTCAGCCATTAAAAAATAGCAACTTAAAAAAAAAGTTGTTCTAAATGTCATTTATAAAAGTGAATTAATTTAAACCTTTTTTTCTTATTGTACTGTACCTAAATATTTTAATTCCAGACATGCGTTTTGTGTTTCACTGCCCACCAAGAGGAATAGGAAGATTTTTCCTGTCTTGTTCATTTGCTCCTCTCACTCACACAGAGACACACACAAACAAAACAAATCAATATTTCTTGAGAATGCCTAGTAATCATAAAGGGAGACAGAATCACTGAAGAATATTTGGCAAGAAAAAAAATTCAACTTTAGCTAAACTGCCAAAAGTGCATGGAAAAGCATACACACAAATGTGCATGTGTGTGTATATATATTATGAAATATCCTATAGCGAATACATGAATTTAATAGCATTTGGAATACTGTGTGGATATTTATTGTTAAGAGTAACACAGTAAATACTGCATGGTGTGTGTCTATATATATATATATATATCATATACATACATACATACATAGATTAAGCTTAATCAAACTAGCACAGACATAGGGCATCAAGTAAGGACTGAATTCACTACAACAGGAAGTCTATAAAGACTAGTTTGCCAACTATCTCCTTACAATGCTCAGATAGTTTGTGTATATAAGTACGTTTTCACTGTAATGTATACACATTTATATGTGCATATGTTTAAATTATGCTTAGCATATTATGCTGCTGTATTCTGATATGGATTTGTGGGTGTATACATGTATGTGTATGCACCCTATGTACTAATGGTTGTGTGCATACATACATTTTAAAACAAAAATCTATGTATATGAATGTATTTAAAGAAGATTTGTTATGTTTATGAGCAAGTTTGTAAGTATTTGAAAAAAATGTCAGATGGAAATATATTATGAGAATATTTGAAGAATTATTTGACCTTTATCTTCCTTTTTATTGCAATGATCAAAGTTTCAAACAGTCACCTCTCCAACTTAGATTTTATGTTCAAAATGATAAAGGTAAGGGTACTATTTTAAATAATTCATGGAATGATAACACCACTTCATCTTATAAGTTCAAACATTATTATAATGTCTACATGTAAGAAAGTAAGTGCAGCACAGAAATAGTAGGGTATATAGTGTAAAGAATAGGTAGTATAATATATGTGTTGGGTTTTGGGTGTTCTTTTTTAAATTGTAAATATAATGTATATTTGAAGAATAAATGTTAGGGAGAGTGTCCCAAAAAGTAAAAAATAATTTTAAAATAATTTAATCTTTTTACTAAAAGGATGGCACCATAAATTGCATTATTTTCTGAATATAATTAAAATTTGTCTTTATTACATAAATTTTACTGAGAAAAATGAACAAATAGAAATTAAGAGAAATATTAATACATTTTTAAAATACTTTACTTACTTTTGGAACACTTTATATTGAGCATATATATATTTGCATTTACTTTGATAGATAAAGGATATAAGAATCCGTATAAAAATGCACCTGGATAGTTAATCATAAGGGACGTGTATACATGCATAAGGAAGAAAGCATAGTATATCTATCACTTTAAAAAATAGGTAGGTTTTATAAATCTTCATATATTTACATAGATATATATGTACACACATTTGCATTCTATATCCATACACACTTACATATGTACAAGTAAACATATGTAAATATATACTTATTCACATATTATAAATTAACTTTTCACTCAAAATTTCTTCAATTAAAAAAAAAGGAACATAAAAATAATATATTCTGATATAATTTTTAAAGGCTCGGCCATTTAAGCCCAGATTGTTTAATGATGCCCACCTAGCAACCATAAGCAGTAGATATGTAAGTGCATAGAGGATGATAACATTGTGTATAAATGAATTCATGTAAACAATGATGATTATAGTGAAGTAAGTAGAGAAAGAAAAAGGGATATAAAACAAAATTGGATGCCTACCTTTCGAACGAGTCATCATAGTGCTTTCTGTGTGAGGAGCTGAGGCACTCATTCTGTGAAAGAAGAGGGAAAAGAAAAAAAACAAATAAAATCACATTTAAACAAAGGTTAATTTTTAGGGAAATGTAGTGCTTCTCAGCTGTGATCAAATTAACCTATGTAACATAAAAAATTTTGGTGAAATGCTAAGAAATAAACCTTGGAATTCAAAAGTCCTTGTTTGTTATCATTCAATTTGGTTTGACATCACAAATATACAACTGCTGGTGAATAAAATGAAATTGTACTAAAAAAAAAAAAAATAATAAAAAAAGAAGATGAGACATTCTAGTTTATTCATTTTTTTTTTGTAATTTATTCCAATACCCACAATTATATATACACCCAGACACTTGCACAGAAAAACATGCACTCATACATTCAAATACATAACAACTCATATACATTATATATAGAAACATGAAAAGTGGGGTGAAAAGTTCTCAGCCCAATCCACGTCTTAAAAATCAGTATTCAGATGTTTGTTCATTGAATTATTGATTTTGAAAAAAATGGTCGGATCAAGAACTTTCCAGCACCCCTCTGAAAATTATCCCTATGATGAGACTTGAGGTTTGTATGCAAAGTATAAATATGTAAAAATAAAATATATGATTTCATCATGGCAGATTACCAGGGACTTATGCACTGGTATGTTTGTGTATGCATATATATCTGTGTGTATTGTATGTGTGTGAATATATATCTATGAGGAGTGCTGAAAAGTTTTCAGTTCAACCCACTTTGAAAAAACAATTAGTAATTTAATGATCAAACTTCAGAATATTGATTTTTGCAAGTAGTTTAACCCAAGAACTTTTCAGCACAATCTTTTGTGTGTATGTATGTATGTATGCGTGTGTGTGTGTGTGTGTATATATATATATATATATATATATAGAAGCACACATATTGAAAAATAGTTGCATTAATTTAGATATTGAATGCGTTCCAATATTCCTATGAACAATCCAATATATATATATATATATATATATATATATATATATATATATATATATATATATAATTATTTTTATAAAAAATTTATAACGTAAGTATGTTATAAAATCACTACAACTTGGGTGTATATATATATATATATATATATATATATATATATATATATATATTGTCCTCTAGATTTTTGCCACTTTGTCATTCAATTACTAGATATAAAACTATCTGAAGAATAATTGTTATTTTTAACAATAAAAAATGATAAAATAATTCCCAAAATAAGAAATTAATGTGTGCCAAAATTTTATTATTAGTAAGATGTAGAACCACAATGTATACATACGTTAACATACAAACGTATACAATGCATACTCACACATTAACATATACAAATGTATGCACATGTTAACATATATGTGTACATATATAAAATATACACGCACACATTAACATATATAAATAAGGCAATATATGCTTATGATTTTATATAAGACTTAAGTTGTCCATCAGCATTGCTAAATCCCAATCCTTTAAACTTATACAGCAAACACAAGTGCCTGCATAATCAACCAAGAGATACTTGATGTGTTATTTGTATATTTACAACCAATTCAACAGCAGGCTTTTCATCACTCTACAGAACATATACTTATATTTATTCATTATTCTTGAAAAATTGTAATGCTAATTAAAGACAAAAGCAGAAGTTGACATTTACTTTCAAAATAAAATATCTTTAAAACAGAAGTTCTTAACTTGTGGAATTGGGGTTAGATAGATATATTAACAATTCAAGACTGCTGTCTCTCAATATGGTTCAGAATAGTATTGTTCTTTCATAAAATTAGCATAAAGTATTTGACAACTGCTTGGTGCTTAAAAAGAGCAAAAGGTTATGATCCATTGCTTTGAAAGAAGATGTAAAATGTTTAATCAGATGATAGATCATCAGATTTTACTAGTCTAACCCATACAAATTGTTCTATATTTTGTGTGCAAAGGGTTTATTTATATCAGTTAAACAAAAGCCTATATAAAAAAATTTTTACAGTAGAAAAATTGAAATTTGAAAAGAAATTAATGATTTTAGGAAATCTGTAACTAAAGCATTCATAGGATGCTGAAGAAAGACATTTTTAAAGAAAGTTATTTTTTACTATTTTAACTTTTATTATAAATTTACTTTTGCTTCATAAAAGTAACATGTTCAAAGGAAATATTTTAAACTTATTTAAATTTTTTCTTCAAATTTTGTCAATTTATCATTATTTTTAATGATTTTTTTTTTGTAGTACTTAAATATTTTTTTCTATTTTTTAAACATTTTGCAGAGCTGTTATGCTAATTTTTACATTGGGTATGGACAGTTTTTAAATAATATCATTCTTTATGCAATGCTAAAAAATTTTTTTACATTTCAACTGATATGTGGAGAGTCAGAAGAGAAGTAATTTTGAATGATTTTACTGTTTGTGAAATCATTTGCAGCAGATGTGGTTAATAAAATCAAGAGGGTCACAACAGCTGTCACATTAAATGACATATTTGCTTTGCCTCTAAGCCAAATGGCTAATTTCATTATGGACCAAGAACAAATACTATCTTGGCAGCTTACAAGTGAGTGACAAGGCATACCTGTGAGGTTATCAACTTCAGTAAGCCAAAATGCAGAGTATCATTAATAGTCACTTAGAATCTCATCATGTCATTCTCATTAAATGCCCAGAGGATTTAAGCCTTTTATATCATGGTGGTATAACATAGTATTAGTAACTGCTGTAGTCAGGTATCAAAAAACAGCACATATAGTAAACCACAATACCTCACTCAAATGTTAACAGATGACAAATGGTTAACAACATAGATGTTCATACCAAATGACTATCTCTAACTTTACTACTGAATGATACTAATCTATCAAAAAATTGAGAAAATATGACTTTGGAGTCACCAAAATCAAGGAGGGCTGAGAAATTTAAAAAAAAATAGTGTATCAAATGTCACATCTGTGTTCAGAGATATGGCCAAAGACTATACTAAAAATCAAAACTATTGTTTAATGTAATAATATATTGATATCTGTCTCATGATTATTGCCTATTTTATTAGCACCAGTAAAATATGTTTTTAACCTGACTCTCATTTAAAATTAGTTATCATCTTCCTCATGTACATGGTAATGATACATGCCAACTCACTAAACCTTAAAATTTTCGCCCTGCTGAGCCAAGCCTACATTAATAAGGATGGTTGAACATTAAAGTAGATCATGTAGTGTAACCAACTGATTATATATCAATCAATACAAAGTTGAAATTATAAAACAATTGCAATAAAACTAGATCATTTATGAACATGCTGGTGAAAAACAGCAAACATTACCAAGTTTACATTTAATGAAGCCTAAAAATAAATTTGAATCATTAAAAATAAGAAAAATTCCCCTATTTAATGAGACAAAAACTGCTACACTGAAAACTGCAGTTCTTAAAATAATATGCAAGTAAATATTTGTAAATAATCTTTGATCCATGTATCTGGTTGTTATGAAAGAAAATGACACAATAGTGCAATCAAATTAAGTTCAAATTTATGTGTACATAGAAGTGTAGTGTTTCATAGGGCATAATTGTGAGACACCAAGTGAGGATCAAGTTCAATTTACTTCATATGGTCATTGAGATTTGTTTGCTATATCCACATTGACAGATGTATATGTTAATATCACATGTACATGCAACAAATAAAAGTGCTTAATATTCTTAAATGTAGTTTAAAATTAATGTAGTATAAATAATGTAAAACATTTTTTTTCAAATATTTCCCCTGAACAACTTTCTGACAACTTCTCCTCTCATTCATATATAAATAACTGACAATTTACATAGACATTGGTTAAATGTTTGAATTAAAAGGTTGACACCAGTTGCAAAAAGATCAAACGTTTTTATCAGATGAGCTATAATCAGTATCAAAAGCCTTACAGATGAGCATAATGCAATTATATATATATATATATATATATATATATATATATATATATATATGTGTGTGTGTGTGTATGTATTAGTAATATGAAACAATCCTATGTAATCTACAACATAATGTCTCCAAATTGCATCCTACCTCAGAAGAGACATGGATAGTCCCCTTCCCTGCCATACCAATCCCTCTATTTTACTACATTCTCCCACCCTTGCTCCTTGTATTAACCAGTCTCTCTCTTCCCAACTATCCTTCTGCCCATGTTACACTGTTCAGCTATAGACATTGAAGTAATCAGTGAATGTCATCATTCAAGTGAGTGGGTGAATGCAAGTCTGGAAGCAGGAGCAGTCGATGCAGCAGCAATAGTTGTTGGAAATAGATTTCAAGATTGCCAACATTGACCAAGTGAATATAAATGGCACAGACACAAACATATGTACCTCTCTGTGTATATGTAATATAAATGTGTGTATATATATATATATATATATATATATATATATATATATATAACACACAATTAAATACAAGAACAAATTTACATATACAAATATATACAGTCTTGTATGTAAATTAAACTCGTGTGTGTGTGTGTGTGTATGCATGCAGTCATGCATATATTACACATCAGAGCAGTACTAAAAATTACCAGCCTAAGATTTGACCAAATGATGAAACAAGGTTTTTTTAAAGGCATTCTTGGTCAGGCTGAGAACACACACACACTCACACACATATATATATGTCAGTGTGGACATAGGAATAAACACTGCATAGTGACTGTCAGTTTCACACCTCAAATGACATGAGAGAGTAAGGGGAGGAATCAGTGCAAATTTGACAAAAATATATTTACCTACACACAAGGGGAATTATATATATATATATATATATATACACATATATAAATACACATAGTTAGATATGAATATATCTATGTTTGTATCTGTATACAGGAGAGAGCTATACACACAAATATTCATTCACAGATAAACATATAGAATACATATTCATTTTATGACCAGCTTTTTCAAATATGATTTGATTATATTATATGAATATGAGA